GCAAATTGATAAACAGGCATTGCGAATGTAGATTTCCTCTAAAATCATTATAATGATAAAGTAAACTGTAATGCAAATAAGCAGCAAAAATCCTCTTCAATGTTCAGAAAAAAAAGCTTATTGAGATAGATGACAGCACGTTTAAAAGAAAAATTGTGAAATTTAGAGCAAGTGAGGAGAAGAGTGACAAGAAATGAATCAGACACTTTAGTTTAAATATAAGCATTTAAAATCATGTTACGTATACAAGTCAAAATTCTCTCTTCGCAAATTAACGTAGATTTAAATAACCCTATGATGAAAAAACTTGGNAAAGAAAAAAAAAAAAAAAGAGCGGAGTACTTTGCGCATTTTCGTGTAAAAAAAGTAATGTCCAGGATTAAAATAATAATAATAACAATAATAATAGCTAAATAATAATAACTCGTTACTTTTGAGTATTTTTTCACTCGCGCAGGAATGATTTTAATCTCTTTTAATCGATCTGTAATCCAAATTTCAAAAAAAAAAATTAAAAATTTTAATTTGCTTTTTAAGTCGTAACATGAAGTGGTTTAAATGAAGTAAAAATAGATAAATAAATAAAATAGTTTTGAAATATTTTAAAAAAATAAATGCGTTTTAGTTCTTATTCATTTCGAAGTAATTTCAGACAAAATCCGTCTCCTTCAGTCCTAGCGGAACTTCAGTTCGCAAACTATTATATTCTATCGGGAACGAGGAGAATTGATGGTAGCATTTTTATTAGTTGTGTGTGACCGTGAATTATTTCTTCTTAATTTTACTTATGATGAATGCATTCTTGAGATATTTTCTTACTTCCGCCTAATACAAAACTTGGCAGATTTCATAAAACGTATGCACAAATGCTATTCAAATTGCTTCGATATCACTAACATTGCAACTGAATAATGGATTTAGGATTTTTTTTCTTCCAATTAAACAAAAGTATGTCCCGCTGTAAAATAATTGAATAATATTACTCTCGGACTAATCGCGTGTACTCTCCGTCATTTTTCCACCTCCAAATGGTTATAAATTGGAAATAATTTCCAATATTTTTGACATTTTCATTTAAAATTATATAGAATAATACCGAAATAAGCATTATAATGGTTTAACGAAATTGTCTGATGCCAATAAATAATGAAGTGTGAGTTGCTACTCTTGTCTTGTGCAAGTAGTGCAGAAGGAATCAAATAGCACCGTAGGCGTCCAAAACAGTCTTGACAATGTCAAAAACTTTTGGCGAATAGAGCAGTTCTTAGTCTGTGTTGTTTAGGTCGATGTCATAGAAGGGCCAGTGTAGAAGAACAATTAAAAATATGACCTGGAGAAAGTTTTATTTCAGGACAGTGAGGACGAGTGTTATAACTTCTTTGGCCATCAGGGGATGATAACTGAAATTACGCGGCTGCAATTATAGTCCTGGGTTAGATTTCTTTTTATGTGGTTAAGGGGTAAGTTTACGTCAGGCTAAGTGCAAGTGTTTAACTTATTGTCAAAGATTTTTTTAAAATTTAAATTGAACAATGAGTGTTGAAGATTTAAATCAAATGATTAAAAGCAGCGATTTAAATCACTATTTTTATTACGATTAAACTATCAACATTGTTGTTTAAGATGCTGATTCAAATCAGTAAAGTTAAATAAATAATGTTCTTATTACTACGACGACAGCCTGTTCTTTTGAAATTGCATTTTATACGAGGCCATTTTTAGTTTCTTTTAAATTATTAAAGATAGTATATATTTTATAAACATTTTATTACAAGTGGATTAGTGAAAGGTGTGTTAACAACGGGGCAATAATAAATAGCAGTGAATTTGTTTATTGTTTAGTCATTGAAAGGCACTTTAGTAAATAGTCGAATCAGCGAATGAGTTTATAAATGCATAAAAATGTTTACAAACCTATAAATTCTATAACGGCAGTCAACGGCAATTTTTTTTTCATTTTCTAAAATAATTTCTAACAAAATGGCTGATATTGAATCGAGAATATTTTTAAAACATTATTGAAACATGCACAATAATAAGAAAGAAATAATAATATGTTTCTTCAATTGATCTCATGATGTTCATTCGTAAGAACATCTTAAAAGAATTTCCTAACCTGTGGATAAGTTTAAGAATTCTTTTTTTACTATCCCACTACAAGTAGAGAACGTTTTTTAGTAAATTAAAAGCTTTAAAAACCTATTTCAGGTCTACAATGGCATAAGAGAGAGAAAATTCATCGGCTGTAATTTCTATAGAAAATTAAACAGCAAAAACAATAGATTTTGAATTTTAGTAATTGTTATTTTTCTTCTTCATATGTTTATTAAATCAGCATTTAGGGTTGATACAGATTTTATAATTTTCTGGTAGAAATATTATAATTTAAAATATTAAAAGCAATTTTATACAACGTAATGACTACACCAGCCAGACAATTCAAACTGAGAAATAAGTAATACTTTTTTTTTTTTTAAATTGCTATTCCTTTTCCAAAATGGAGTTAAGAGCCCTGTTTTCAGTATCGCCCGGGGCGTGAAAACGACACTGCAAGCCTGCATAAAATTTTAATTCTAAATTATTTACTTAGCAAACATTTTTGAAACAATGAAAAGAAAAGCTATGAACTTATTAGCGTATGAAAATAATCTCTTATTCTAGAACTCAAGCGTTATTATGATTTGATTTTTAATAGGATTTTTTTTTAATTATTTTATGCTGCTAATGTGCAATATTATGTAAGTATACAACATAAAAAATATATTCCTTAAATTTCTATAAATATATCATTGAATAGAATAATAATGAATAAATAAATAAGATTTCTGAGTTTCGTAANTTTTTTTTTTTTTTTTTTTTTTTTTTTTTTTTTTTTTTTTTTTTTTTTTTTTTTTTCAGTGTTAATTTGTAATGTGAATTCGTGAATGCCTTATTCAGTTAGTAATTTTTCATTAAATTAAGTAGGAAAAGCAATATTTTTAAGTTTGCTATAATTTAGAGAATTCTAAATAAACGGCTGTAAAAAAATATGTATTACACATCTATACATATTTTTTTTTTTTTAAAGGAAAAAAAAACGTACACACACATAGATAAAATTTTAAAATTTTTAGCATTTCTCAGCTGAAAAAATAGTTAACTACAACACTAAAAAAGAGAAAAAAGTAGATGTGATTTAAGTAAATTATGATAACTAAAATAATATGATAAAGATTTTGTGATTTTTTTTAACATAATTAGTACTTGATATCCAAAGATTAAAAAAATTATATTAAAATTCAATTCATTTAAAATTGTAGTAAAAAATATTTTTATGTGAATCTCCATCTGTTTACCGAAAAGAAATAAGTTTCATATTAATGACATGTTTTTAGCACCCATAACCTTCATGTTTTATTCATTTAATTTTTTAAAAAAAAACTGCAAAATTTATTTTATTTTTAACCTGATTTATTATTTTCACTGCAATCAAGAAGAGTTATCTAACTACTCTCGCCATCTATATGTGAAAAGTGTTAATAGTACAATAAATAAGTTAAAATTTATAATAAATAAATGGGAAAAAAATATTTTAAAATATGAAGAGTAAGTTAAAATTTATTCACATTTATGAAAATTTTACTCTTGAATTAGGTGCATCTTTCTGTGTTTCATCTTCAATCATTTTAAAAAGCAAAAATTATTGCATAATTCCATTCCAATTCAATCAATAACCACCAATAACTTTTTTACACATTCAATTCACATTCTTATTTCCCTGGTGCAAAGTATTCGTTGAGGTTTTATAGCATTTTAATCTTAAAATACATTTTGAAACTATAAAATTTAAAATTTGCGACAAATTCAATAAATAAATGAATGCCATTTGTACCGGAAGAAATGGAATGTCAGCTGACTTCCGGTTCCGCCTTTCTCTTTTTCATTTTTTCTCCTTTTCAATCATGCATCACCTGTGGTAAGTATGCTTATAACAACTTCTATCGATTTTTGTTTTTAACAAACTGTTTGTGTCCCATATTGTCGTAATTTTGATGATAAATTATTTCTAATATTATCTTGTGTATTAATTTTACATATATCTATTGGTTTTTCAATGGGTGCATGTTAAATTTTAATTATTCACCTTGGTTACGTAAGTTACTATATGTTAAAGTTGAAATTTAAAAACGTTCTCCAGTTTTAAAAAAATAACATTTTATTGAATACTATTTATATTTAGCAGTTTTTTATTTCTAGAGTTCTTTAATACAGTAGCTTTATGTTTGATGAAATAAATATTTGATCCTTTTACTAAAAATCAATAATTAGATTTAAATGTACAATGAAAATTTAGATATTTTTTTTTATGATTTCGTTAATGCTGGTATGCTTAGTATTTTTTTTAAAAAAAATTTAATCGAACACTGTTTGTTAAGTAATTTACGATTTTTCCTTATTGCATCATTCTTAATTAACATCTTGCAAAGGGTAATTACTTAGAGTGATCATATCGCCTTTCGGATAAGTTATACTTTTGAATTAACTTATTTTAAAATTTGATTCAGAAAGGTTTCATTAGTTTTCAATTTGTTGATTTTCCTTCAATTCAATGCTCATTTTTTTTTCTTACTTTGTGTGGAATTAAAAGCCATGTTATGTATGTACTTTTATTCTATAATGCTGAGTTGATTTCCTCCCTTCGCGTAAGTGCATCAAATGAAACTTTATGTTCTCAAGTTTATTTATGTATTATTCTGAAAATGAATAAACGTATGTATTTTCTTTTAAACAAGGATCATTTAAATACTTTTGGTGATATTGTTTATGATAAAAATTGGTTTAACTATAATAAACTTAGATTTCAAACTGTTTTCCTCAATTAAATTTTTGTACAACAATATAGTATTTTGTTTAAGGTGGTATTTTAGCCAACTTGTTTTGTTGTATATGGAACTTACTTTGCAATTTTCTTTTTAAAAAAATCTTTTATAATTAAATGTGTTTTTCTTTTGTTTTTTTAGATCAATTGAACATCCTTTGAGCATGTTTTCACAGATGTTTTTTCGTCTTGGATGGTTTTTTGCATCGCATCCTTGGGAAGTCATTGCCTTGTTCTTCATAATAATCCCATCTAAATTTTCATTAAATGCCCAGTTAGCTCATTCCAGAGTCCCAGAATATGAATATTCTGAGGTATTTATAAATTTTTCATAAAAATGTAATCAGAGATTCTGCTTATAATGTTGAGGGCACGTAATATATATATATACAGGGCTCTCGCTAGAGATTTCAAATTATTAGCCAGGAAATTAACCTAATATCAAAAGTATTCCCCAATTTTCAAAAGTCTTTGCCAAATGCAATCTTAATTTTTATTATTAATTTTTTTCCCCAAAGAAAACTATTTTATGGTAGTTTGTTTCAGGTTTATATTATTGGAACCAAATTATTGGTTATGCGGTGCATCTACCGAAAATTACTGTAATCGAATGAAAAATACTGATTTACTTAAAAAATCGACTGAATCGAAATTACCGAGATCGAGTTAATATCCATTTTTGTTTCCAGTAGTAAAAATCATTCGCCAAAACACGATTTTATTTGCCAAATTTATGATTTTATCGAATTTCGCAGATTGGCAAATGCTTAGTACGGGCCCTAATATATATATGCAGGGCCCGCACTAGGGAATTACTAGCCAAATATTAAAAACAGCCAAATTTCATAAATCTTAGCCTAAGGCAAATCTTAAAAAAAAAATTTCTTCAAATCAAGTACAAATTTACTATATATTGATTTATTTTATAAAATTTAAATTCAAATCAAAAGTCATTTTACAGTTGGGGAGTTGTACATAATGGTTTATTCGTAGAAGATTCCCAGGGAATTAAAATCATTCTACAAAACACAATTTTTTTCATCTAATTTCTTATTTTATCCCGTTTAGCGCGGTGTCGAGTGCTTTGCGCAGGCCCTGCATATATATAATGCATCCTTTAAATTTTCATTCCAAATCACTTGAAAAATATTTTTGCAACTTAATAGTAGTATTTATTTAACTATTAATAAAAAATTTTATGTATACAAATTGCCGAAATCTATTAACCTTTTGCTCACGGCTGGTACAACATGTGGACCGCATGTAATGGTACAAATGGTACGCCGTAAGCAAAAGGGTTAATAAATTGTAAACAAATTTATATTATTCGATTATATATCCTATGAGGGAACACAATAATTTCATATTATTTGTTGTTATCTTTTAAGTTATGCTAAAGCTGATATTTTATTTTTAAATTTGTTAATATACAAGTAACATGTACATACCTACTATTTAGTTTTCAGTGATAATTATTTTATCCTATCTTTAGCGAAGTATTTTAAATGTTCTAATCAGCATTATAAATAAGCAAATCATAACATATCAAAAAGAATATACTGCATTGTATTACCTTTTTAAAATAATTGCTTGATTATGCAGGGGTCTGTCCAGGTTAAATTTACTACCATTTAGCGGTATCTTCACAAATTCAACTGTAGGAAAAACGGTAGTTTCACAAAATACTTTTTCTTAAAATTATATTTTTGTATGCCGCAAGAAACGATAAATTCAAATTTTTACCATATTTTTGTGTTGATTTTTTATTATAATTTTTAATTTTCAGAAATTATGTCTAAATTTTCACAAAATAGGTATCTCTCAGAAAAATCTAGTCAGACCCCTGTTATGATCTTTTTAGATCAATTGATAACTAATTTTAGTATTAATTCTGTTGAACAATTGCTGAATCTATTACCAATTCTTTTTTTTTCTTCCTCTTTTTAAAAAATTCAATAAGTTAATAAAACTTTTTTTCTTGTTTTAAATGGGGCACTTATTATTTTAAATAAAGACCCACTCATAATAAAAAAGAACCCAGAAATTAGGAATTCCTGGCCGCAATATCTCAAGTCTGGCAGAATCATGGTGTGCTGATACATTTACATGAATCAACCTATTTCATATAATTACTAAAAGATATATATAAATGATATGGTAGATATTAAGATATAGGATGTAGTACTAATAGCCTATTAATTTATTTAAAAAGTAATGCTTTAAGTTTTTCCGTATAATCTTTTGTTAATAACTTTTGTTTCATCCATTGGCAGGAAAACAAAGGAGTAGAACTAGTACTATTAACAATTGCAAGATGTGTTGCAATCTTATATTGCATTCACCAGTTCTTGAAACTCAACAGCTTAGGATCATCTTTTCTAGTTGGTAAGATTTCAAAACCTATGTTATTTTCAGACCATAATTTTTTTTAGAAAATAAGATGCAGCTGAGAATTTTTTCAGAAAAAGCGAAACATGTTAAGTTGATTTATAAATGCATGTGATAATCAGGTCATATTTTTTATATTATGTCATTCAAATACCTCTGAATTATATTGTAGTCTTTATTAAATGAGACAAATTATCAGTTTTGTCTTTCATTTAATCAAGCTTTTCTAGCAGTTCATGATGTGTAATACAATATTTCAGGAATTGGTGGACTTTTTGCTGTTTTTTGTGTAGTGCCATGTTTAGTATTCAGCATAAACCTAGCAAATTTGTGGGAGGCTGATTTCACAGAGCTAAAGTGAGTTTTCTTTAGATTTATTTATTTTATAACAATGTGTGAAAATCAGACAAGTCAAGGAAGCTATTTCCACTGTGGGAAAAAATGGCCCAGAAAAAATAAGCTTCTTCCAACTTGAGTGGAAGAAACTCTTTTACGAAAAGAAATATAAGATATTAATGCAGTTTTTCAAACAGCTTATCGTTGCAATCTGGTCTAAATAATAGTATTTATTTCTAAGCTATTTAAAATATCTTTCTTAAAGTTAAAACTGGAAATTACAAATTTAATAAATTAAAATAGTTAAGGAACTGTTAAAGTATCATAATCGAATAATATTTATATTATTAAACTAACAAATCTTATACTAAACATCATATATCTTATACTAATATATCATATAAGTAAGATAAAGTTAAATTGAACAGGTTAAAGAGATGCTCTTTAAATAAAGGAATTAACTGATAAGTACTCCAAAAATGTGTAAATCTAGTATAATTAAAAATTTGTTTTTATTGTAAATTAAATAAAAAATTGCATTAACTATTACTGAATACTGCTCATAGACATTTTTATTATTTGTGTAATTTATTGTTTTTACTGGACTATCTGCAAACTTTTTACCATGATATCATATTTTATGGGTTATCAGAAGTTTATTGTGTTGATAATATATGTTAAAACACTTTATTTATTTAAAAAGAAAATAACTTTAGTAACGTTGAACAAGACTGCATAATGTTGAGAAGTGGTTGAAAGAAATGCGATATTAGTCTTTAATATCACATTTCTTTCCTCTTTTCTTTGTTAACATTTGTATGTATAAAGTAATATAATTTAAAATTGTTGCTTGTGTGTAGCATTTTTTATTAATATCTAATCTATTTCTCTCTTTTGTATTTGTCAGCAAGGCTTTACCTTTTTACTTCTTACTGATGGACATAACAAAAGCTGGTCTACTTGCACAGTTTGCTCTAAGCTCTTCAACACAGGTGTATATTCTAATTAGAATTTATCTTAAGGGTTATTCCTAAGAGAATATTAAGCTGTTAGCTGTAAAATATTACTGAAACTTGACATTTCAGAGATTGAAGCTCTAATTTGAATAATAATCTTCTGTCTCACATTTTAATAATAAGTTAATGATTATTTTTATTTTTGAAGATAATAAATTATTTTAAAATTTATATGCTTTTAAAAAAATTTCAAATTTAATTTTTTAAATAATTTTATCTTTTGGAAAAATCATTTTAACAAATGTATAGTACGAAATAGAATACAAACTAGATATTGAAGTTAAAAAATAACAAATTCTGATCTTACATTTTGTTTCCGAAAATCCAATCTTACTTTCCGAAAAATTTCAGAACTCAAATTTCCGGAAATCCAACCAAAAAAATATACTTTGTCTATAAGCATTAAGAATTGTTTTTTAAGCATTTGTTTCCTGCGTCTTGTATCTCTGTTAATGGTTTTAAGTGGCTGATGTTAATTATAATAATATTTGTATAGAAATAAATATATATATACCCATACCCTCCAACTGCTACGGAATTTCCGTAGTTTCAGAAATCTTCTTTTCAGACGGTAGCAAAATTAATGTCTTAATGTTTAAAAAAAAATTAATTTTAGCGTAACTTGTTCACTATTACTTATAAAAGTGCAGGCCATATGGCTAGATTCTTAAGTTCTGATAAAAGTTTTATGAGAGATCCATTTGCTTTAAAAATTTCTACTTTGGTTCGCTACCACTAGAAAGAATTATTTTCAAAATCCTCATAAGTTGGAGGGTATGTATACCAATATGCCATATATATATTTTTTTTTCTCAAGTTAATCAGCTGTTATTAATGACTTTTTGTTGTACTTAATATAAGTGAAAGAGACATTTTTAAACTTCATGTTCATATTTTTATATTTTACGAGTTTTAAAGCTTAAAAATATTTTAAATCTAGCTTATTTATTTCCTGTGAAAAATGTTTTATTTTGTCAGGATATAAGAAATTTTACAATTCTTGCTCTTTCTTCATGAAAAATAGTTTCTTGAAAAAAAGTTATTAATGTAATATAGAGGTGGTTGGTTATCTGTTGCAGGCAAAAAATAGTTTCTACAATTTTAAACAATAACTAAAAACGTTAAATCTGAAATTAAATCTTTTTTTTTTCTGGGATCTTATATTTTGTATCACATTAATTCCTTTTACAAAAGAAATTAAAGTTGTTAATAAGCAAGTCAATATGAAACATTTTTGCTAAATCAAGATTTTTTTATGGTATTGAAACAAAAATCAGCGTTGTTATGCTTTCTTTTACTGTGATGATATTGATTTTACAATGTTCTTTGCAATTGTGCTTCTTACAATATTTTTATTTTGTTACTCGTGTAGTATTAAATGTTTAAACTTTAAATTTGTTCTTGGTTTTGTTTTGTATTAGGAAGAAGTAAGAGAAAATATTGCTCAAGGAATGTCAATTATTGGGCCCACTATCACTCTCGACACAATTGTTGAAACGCTAGTCATTGGAGTTGGTACTCTTTCAGGTGAGTTTACTTTCCAGTATGTGTTTTGTAGAGGGTACTTATTTAAATCCTGTATTTAATAACAAATTTAAAATAATTAAGAATTATTTTAACATATTTAAATAATTTCTTGCTCTAACATATTTAAATATTTTTTATATATAATAAACTTATTTATGTGGAAAAAATATTTATAAATGATTTATTTTAAAGAAATGTTGCTTTTGGCCAAATATTGTGTATTTAGCCAAATCAAAATTAATTACTTCCCCAGTATTTACAAGCTTCTTAAAACTGTTTCCGTGTATTCATTGAAAAGAAGAAAAAAAAGTCTAAATACTATTTCCCAATTTCTCATCCAAATAAAAAGGAACTAATCTTTTACAAAAATAAATAAATTAATGAAAAAATTTTATTTCAGTTTCATTTCTATTACTTGCAGGTGTTAAACGATTAGAAGAACTCTGCAGATATGCTTGTATCTCAGCTGTCGTCAACTATTTTGTTTTCATGATATTTTTCCCTGCATGTTTATCCCTTATTCTTGAGGTATGTAATGAATTTAAGCCTGTTCTAAACAATACCTCTGATGTTTTTTACATGCATTTTCTGAATTAAAGTTTTTATTGATAAGTTTGTTAATGTTAAATAAATTATTAATTGGTACAAGGTACCCACTCATTCACTAAAATATAAATATGGGTTAAACATTAATGCAAGATAATGTTATGTTTTTAACTTACACTAACTTTAACATTTTTTGAGACTTACAATGCTTGTGCTGTGTGCAAAAAAAAATTTTTTTTTTTTAAAACTCATGACCACTTTACTCATGATGAATAACTTTTATCTATTACTTATGATCAGATTTACATGCATTAAGACTCAATTTTAATAGTTTAAGAGGGAAACCTTGAATATTCTAACTAAACAATAGCAGAATTCTTCCTAAGTATGAAAAAGGGCAGGATGCTTCCTCACAGAAAAGGGCACGTTGAGTTTTGAGAGGGCATTTGTTTACCACCGTAAAAATTTATCAAAATGTCTAATATTATATAATAACAGAAAATTTAATCCCCAATTTTTAAATTATTCTCTTATGCTATTTTATCTGTATATTTCACAAAGAAATTCTCGCTCACTATCAAAATGTTAAAATTTTGAAAAATAATTGAAGAGCAAACTAAAAGACAATCTCTGTATATAAATTTTCTTAAGAAAAAGTAAACCCAATAAAAAGATTAATTGATAAACAACTTTAAAACTTTCTTTATATTTTAAACTGAAAATTTAGGAAAGTGAACATTTAAAGGTGCATTTTTAATTAAAAGGTATTTATTTAAAAAAAATAATGGGAAAATTTAAAATCACTAAAAAGTTCATTAATAAAGTTCATATATATATAATTATACGGATGAAAATACAGGCCGGGCGACTGTCCTTCTATAAATGCTTAGAAAGAACACTGCAATATTTTAAGTAATGAAACCAGACACAAAAGCGTATTTTCTGTTAATAAAGGTTTGTTTCATTGATGTTAATTTTACTTTTTGCTTATTTTACCAGATCTCAAGAACTTTTTAAGCAAATTGAAGAATTTTTTCCCGCAATCATAAAATTCAATTATCTAAAGATTCCATACACAAAGTAATATAAAGTAATAAAATATAATTCTCCTACTTATGATTCCAGGAAATACATTTGAAAACACTACAAATAATAATTATCTATCAAGGAGTGAAAAGAGCAAACGGAGGAGTTTGCTTAATTTTGCTTTAATATTTAAACATATTTGCCAACTTGTGACAAAGTAATTAAATTAATATAGTTAATATTATTGCGTATTGTATTGTGTAATTTTGCCTAATTACTTATTTTATTGTAGTTGTACCGTGACAGAGATGAAGGAAGACCAGTATGGCATCTCAGCACTTTGACAAGAATCTTGCAGCAGGAAGAAGAACAAAAACCAAATCCAGTCTTGCAACGTGTAAAAGTTATAATGGTAATTTTATAAGGCTTTACCTTTTTNATATATATATATATATATATATCCTTGTGCAGAAGGACAAAAAAAATTTGCAAGTGGCATGATAGTAAAAGATGGAAATGCTCTGTAACTTCAATGTGAACATTGCTTTTACAGAATTTTCTTTGTATTTAATAATTCACCTGAATTATTTGGCAATTACTATCTGTTTACATAGCCTTGTTCTTTTGAGTTTTGCAACATCAGGACTCAATTGTATAGTATATCTTCGATACCTGGGGTATGTCAATAAATCAAAATCAAAGAATAATCAGGAAAGCAATTTCTTAAACATATAAACATGAAATTATTAGTTAAATTTCTTAATATGAATAGTGATAAAGTTTCAGAAAAGTGACATATCTGTATTTTATTTTTCAAGCATAAATAATGATGCAATATCACGAAATAAGTTGATCCAGTTTTATGCCATTTTTTTTAGTCAGATTTCAAATTGGTCATAATATTAGAAATTAGGTAACATCAGCTGTTTTTAAAATGACTCAATACATTTAGTTAACATATGTTCTTCATTTGTGAGACTTATAGTACTATTTTCGTACTTAAATTTGTCTCTATTGGAATCGTCAGATTCTGGTGTTTTATTTAATGTACTCTGTCCAATTTTTTCATCAATAAATTATTTATGACACTTATATCCCTTAAAATTTATATTTACTGAAGAAAACTATTTTTTTTAATCATAAATTCAATAGTAACATTATTAATTAAGAGTAGTGGTTTTTTATCATAATTCAAATGGGATAAAAAAAAATATGGTGAAAAGAATGAATTGTATGAGCATTAACACCACAACACTTTTGGATTTGTGAGTATAGAGATATAAATAGATTTGTGAAACTTTAAATAGATTTCAGTTGCAATTTGATTTAGCATTTAAAGAATGTTTTTGATTCAAAATATTTTCTTTTCGTAGTGATTCATGCAAATTACAGAGCAACTTTTAATATCCCATTGAGTTATTATTTCTATACTTCATAATAGTTATTAGAAATACTGTTATTTTAATTAAATATTTGTGACTTTGGTATTAATTATGTATTTCTCTTGTTTATAGTCAGCTGGTCTTGTGGTTGTCCATGCCCATAGTCGATGGCCTGTTTTGATTGCCAGTAAAGCACTTCAAGCCTCTAAAGCTAGTTCAGCTGATTTTGTTACTCAACCTTCAAATTGGGATATTTACATGCAAAAGTAATAATTAGCATTTTTTTTTGGTCACGTTATTTGTTCAAATAAAAAATATCTGCCATCAAAACCAGGGACATTTTTACACCTTTGAATAAATTAAAAACTCATTGATTAAATAAAATAAAAAATCTCAAATAAGATAAAAAGTCTTAGAAAAATTCTTATTTATGTTTTGCTATATTTTTCTATTGCTGTAGAAATCATAGTATTTGACATTTATATTGATGTCATTAACAAAGATTTATTTTAAGAAGTATCTTATGAAATAAGTCATATAAACTGGTTACATTCCTGAAATAATTATTTTCCTTACTGTCATAATTACTAATTTACCTATGGCTCTTTATTACAATTCTAATTATATAAGCTGTAAAAAATTAATTACTGATTTCACTTGAATTTTTTTTAAGAATTTAATTTACTTTCAGTGTAATTTAAAATGATTTTCAACAAAATATACCGAAGGTTTTTTTTACGATTTTCAACAAAATATAGTGAGTTTTGTTAAAAAAAACAAGCAGATAATGCTACTTGTTTATATTTGTGCATGCAAAAGAAGTGTTAATAATAATAGGGTTTTTTCAAAAGAACAAGTATTTGTCTTTATATTTTAAGATAGTTTCTTTTGCCAATTATATTTTCATCTTTATATTAAATATGTTTGAATTGAGCTGGTTTTGTTTGGATATTGTTTTAGTTCATTAAATTTGTTAGGGAAAAAACAGTAGCATCAGCAGTATTTTGGTGCTTAAATTGCATTTCTTCAAAAAAGAAATTTTTGATTATTATTATTTTTTATCCAAAAATTTAGATTTGGCATCTTGCTAAGTTATAAGTCAGACTTGGTTTAAATTTTTATTAACTCCACTGTTAATGAATATTAACTTATTTTGTAAAAATTAAAATTAAGATTTGCTTGTGCGTTGCAGGTGGTTTGGAAGTGCAGAACAAGTTGTGATTGTTGCATTTATGTGTAGTTGTGTTTTCATGTATCATTATCTGGAATCTTATGAAGATCTCAGAGACTCTCTTGCTAATGCTGCCATTGCATCACCATCAAAGCGTTCACTTTCTTCATATCAGAGCTCCATCGCTCCTCTCACCACATCTGAAAGTAAGTGTAGCTTTAATTGCTCAGTTTTTTTATTTCAAAAAAAAAACATTTACATGAAAATAATTGTAATATTTTTTGCATCATTAGTTATTGTAATATTTAATTGTATAAATTCAAAAATGTGTCTCCTTACAGCTTGAAATTTTTTTCAAAGATTGTTTGTTCCTTCATTAAGTGACTGAGATTTTGTTTAATAATTATCTTGTATGAGTTTTTAAGCATTTCTAACTGAAACATACCTTAAATTTCTGATACTTTATTTTTTTTTTAATATGAAATTGAACTTTATAATAGTGAAATGTTTTTTAAAGTTGTTCTTAGCATCTCTTTTGCAAAAAGGAAAGAAAGCTATAATTTATGGGCCTTAAACACAAAATTATACTTTAAGTTATATATACTATCTTTTTGAAAATAATCTAGGCATAAAAACAGACTTGCATTTTTAATCTTTTAGAAACTATTATTATTAACTTTTCTAAATAGTTACATTGGAAAGATTTTTTTTCTAAGATTAGAATCATTGAAATCAATAAATTATTTATTGCTTTTGCATAGATTGAGTACAAATCATACATGTATGAAGTAACTTTTCAAGTGGTATTTTTTTAATTTTATAACCATTGTTGAACAGCCAACCCAATTTTTGAGTGTACGACTACCTATGTTCAACTCCGTAGCCTTGTAATTTTGAACACAATCCAAAAGACAAGGGAACTCCTGTGTCATGTATTGAGAGAAATTTGACGTCATAGATAACTTTTTGATTGAACTAACCCACATTTGCATTACTTGGAGAGGAAAACAACGTAAACCTCCCACGGTTAGCCTGCCCGCAAGGGGATTCTGACCCATGATCTATCTACCCCTGGGGATATTTTGCTCCAGCACTGTGGTCGGTAGGAACTGCAAGCATAATTCGTATCTACCAACCAAGACTGAGATTCGAACCTGGGTCATCCCATAGGGATGCAAGCACACTATTCCCTGAGCCACCGCAGCTCTTTTCGAGTAGTTTATTTTATTTTCTAACCGTCATTGAACTGTTGTCGACCCAATTTTATGAGTTTTCAGCTACTAATGTTCAACTCCGTAGCCTTGTAATTTTGAACCCAATCCAGAAGACAAGGGAACTCCTGGATAGAGTATTGGGAGAAATTTGCCTTGGTGAAGGACTTTTTGATGGAACTAACCCTCATTTGCGTTGCATGGAGAGGAAGACCATGAGGACCTTCNATTTTTTTCAAGATGATATGTTAAAAAAATAACATTTTGAATAAAATATTTTATAATGTAGACACTTTTCTTGTACACATCCTACACTTTATACGAAAAAAGAAATAAAAACCTGGAAATTTTAAGATTTTTATCTGGAAAACCTGGAAAAATCAGGGAAATTTGAAATCTGATTTGAGTGGCCACCCTGATTTAAGATTGAGTAGAAAATATGCATGTATGAAGTAACTTTTCAAGTAGTATTTAGTGGTAATAATCATCACTGAACAGTCAACCCAATGTTTGAGTTAACGGCTACCAGTGTTCAGTTCCGTAGCCTTGTAATTTTAAACACAATCCAGAAAAACCAGGGAACTCTTGTATCATGTATTATGCGAAATTTTCTTTCATGGGGGACTTTTTAATGAAACTAACCTGCATTTGTATTACGTGGAGAGGAAAACCAAACCATGAAAACCTCTCACATTTAGCCTGACGGCAAGATACGAACCCAAGATCTATCTACCACTGGGGATATTTTACGTCAGCACTGTGGTCGGTGAGGCGAAAAGTCACCTCATAGGGAAGCAAGTGCTCTGTCCCCTCAACTCTTTTCAAGTAGTATTAAAAAATGAGATCACAGATGCTTTTAATTTTTAAAAACTGTGGCTTTTCTTTTTATGAATATTTTGTATAATTTTCTTAACCAGCATGGAGTGTGCTAATTGGAAATGGACTAACTATTATAAACTCACATAAGTTATAAAACTAGCGTGCTACTTGCTTAAAAAGTATTATTTCTTGCATTGAAAAAGGCCTTCAAAGAACAGCATTTAAGAGAAGTCAAAGGACAATTTGAATGTTTTAGCGAGCATGCTTTATATTGAATTTTGTATATTTGGTATTTTAGTACTTTTTAAAAAAAAATTTATAAATAGAATATCTGTTAAATGATTATTCATACAATCAGTTCGTGAGTCTTGTAATCCAAAAAATTGAAATAAAAAAATAAACTATAAAGTTTTATCTGTAAATGCTTTTAAACATTTTTTTAAAATAAAAGAGTGTATTTATTGATATTGTGATTTACTTTCTTACATAAAGTGAATTTCAATTTTTATTCACTAATAATCTTATATAATACTTCTTAGCCTTTTGAAGAACCATTTTTTTTATAAAAGCATCAGATCAGTCAAAGCGCCCATAGAGAAAAGCAGCAAAATTTCCATACAACATTACTAATTAGATTCAGACCTATTTCAACCACAAAATTGAGTATTGCATATATTAAGTTTAGAATTATTATGGAGCTCTTGTGAAGAAAAAATAATTTACAGCTAATGAGCAAACTTTACAAAGCAGTTATTAATTATATTTTTTGTACAATAATTAAAAACTGATTTTTGAAATGCAAATATGTTATTTCAATGCGTTGCAGTGTTATAATTATTTTTCATTATATCATCTATTAAAAAAAAATAACATTTGTCTGATCATACCTAGAATTCGATAATTTATCAGTCGGTTAAAGCTTTTGTGGTAATGCAGTTTAACGAGTGGCTATTGATAAAACTTGTAAAGCTTAAACATATTTGTTGTTCTACTGATTTTTTATTTATTTTTAAGACTGTAGATTAGCAATGCACAATCTTCAGCCCAGAGGTCAAGTGCAACCTAAAATGTGTGACTCTATGTCTTCCTACAAAAAATTAATTGGAAAGAAAATTAACAGTATAGCTGTTGAAAAAAATTATACTATACTTTATGATATACTTTTAAAAAAGTGCCAATTTATTGCAGTAAAATTCCAAAATTTAAAGATACATATTCAGAGTGACAAAAGATTGAAATCTTTTGACATTTCGGTTTTTATAGATTTTTTATTTTAATTCTCTTTAACTGAAACATGTAAAAAACAAAAGTGGATCAATAATTTTTTTTAATGTTAAAATTGCATGCAATTTATATATAATTAAAAATTATTCAAATTATTATTCCACAGAGAGAGTTTGAAAATGCTGTAATTTATTTATTTATTTATATTTTTTAAAGAATACAAAGTGATCAAAACATGTGTTTCGTCTGAAAGCCAAAATTTTTTTCTTATAGCCACCCTTTTCCCAAAACAGTTTGTTTTTCAATTCATCGATAAACATTTCCGTAGACATTGTGCATTTGTGGAGAATATTTTAAATGAATAATTAGACATTTCACTCTGTCTCCCCTCAGCTCTTTCTTGCGGCAGCCAAGAAATATCAAAGTTATCACCTGTCAAATCTTCCACTCACTTTGATGTGAAACAGTCAACTAGAGAAGTTTCCTTCACTGTTGGACCTTCCGAAGATAAGAAGTCTTCCACCGCCGATAAGCCAACACAAACAGAAGGTTTTCCCGAACCAAGTGAAGGAGAAGATGCGGATGATGATGTTTTCCCCCCTGTTGTGCGCACCCTTGAAGAATGCAAAAAAGTTCTTGCTTCTGAGGTTAGTTTCATTAAGTCAGATTCAGTTAGAAAATAAAATGACTACATCAAATTTACTGTTGTTTAAATTTGTTCATAACTTATTTTAATTATTATATTTTGATGGTGTTTGCATTTTTACATTTTAGTTTATGAGTTCTCTATTTTGTTGGTAAGAACTTGCCAAACTTTTCTAAGTTGTGGCACTCCTGCAAGGCTTAATATCGCCTCACAAAACCCCAATTTTTCTATATCTGTGTTCTGGTTCATATACTTATTATACTTAGTATGTTTTATGTATGTATATATGACTAGAAAGCAGTAACTGTAGAAGTAATGACAATATTAACATAGTTTATGGTGTTTATAGATCTCGTACTTTGAATTACCCAAGTACTTTATGGATGTAATACATAAAGTTATATTATTAATAAAAAGGTATTTATAATAATAAATATAACATAAATATTAATGTCGCCGAGCTCGCCAAAAATAAAACTAATTTGTACAATGCAAGCAAAACTGCTCTTTCTAATGATTTGTTAACTACACTGCAGTGAAAGGCAGGTGGACTTTCACAAGAAAGAACACAGCTTTTTTTATGTATTGATGATCTTCGATACTGATTATTTTTTTCATCTTTGAGACAAGTTTGGCAGCTAAAACATTGAAATATCGCCAATTTGGAATATATAATATTCATATCTTTCTTAGATCAAGACAAGTTGCCAGTGGCATTTTATTGACACCCGATTTCATCCAGCTTCTTCCTTTAGGATGATCACTCATTTAACCGCTTGATTGCATCTTTTAAAGGGAAAATCTTGTTATCAGGGGTCTGTCCAGACATTTTGTGAAAGGTCCGGTTTTTGTGAAAAAATTACTCACATTTTTCAACCAGGGTCCTGCTTTTATGAATTTGTGCAAATAGGATCCAGTTATTGCAAAAAGCTTTTTCAAGGAGTTTTTAAATTCTAAATAGATACAAGATTATGCTCAGCACTGTAAAATTATAATTAAAAAAATTAAATTTTCAAAAATAAACAGCAATTTCTGCTTCTAAATTAGAGATGCAACATAGAAATATTTGGTATTTAGCCTACACTGCTGAACACATAATATTCATTTCGGAAGAATAATGGGAGAGTTGTCTGCCGAAGACAAAACTTAATTCGTTTACACCCATCTTTCTTGTTTTCTGCCCTGGGAAGGGTTTATTCAATTAACAAAACAATAAACAAATTTGTGAAGGGACCCATTAAAAGAAAAATCATTTTGTGAAGGGTCCGTTTTTATGAAAAGAATTTTTCACATACAAATTTATGCATTGTTGTTTAATATTATGACTGCTGATCATTGCATTAACTTTTTTGCATATCTTGCTTGATATAACTACTCACATTTCTATTTCAATATTTATTTCCAAGCAACATTTGCTTTCTTGAACAGCGACTTCTGAAAGTGGAGCTTCATACTTGTCAATGTGAACACTTAACAGCGTTTTCACTTAAAGAATAGGGTGTTCATTTCGTACAAATTAAAATATTTTTGATGAGCGATTTTAAAACCTTTTCAATAGCACCAGATTACTGCTCAGGGTCGTTATTAAGGGGCAAAAAGTAACTTTGTGAAATGCGTTGCTGTGATGTCTCTTTGTAATATTCCTGTTAATTAATGATTAGTTAATGGTTTGAAATAATATAAATTATATTTATTCTTCTTTATATAGTATTAAGTTAATATTTTAAAATAATAGGAAATAGAAATCAAAGCTAAAAATGTGTTTGCATTAAAAAGAATTTAAATTTTTTTTCTTATTAATAAATTTACTTATTTTAATTAAAAATTTCAAAATCTGTGATAACATATTTTATAGGCTGGGGGTGCTGGTCTTACTGATGAGGAATTAGTTATTTTAGCTGATAAAAGACTCATTCAGCCTCATAAATTGGAAATTATTGTGAAGAATCCCAAAAGAGGTGTGATACTCCGTAGAAAACTTTTTAACAAACAAGCAAAACGAGGTCGGATATTAGAATCTCTACCGTATGATAATTATGATTATAAAATGGTAAGTTTTACTTTTTCTTTATTATTCAGTTACAGAGTAAAATTCTTTTAGTAATTGTTTCCCAAATATGTTTTTTTTCCCACAAAATTTGAAGAACATTTTGTTGCTAATAATATTAGTAGATTTAGTATTAGTATTACTAATAATAAGTATTTTTAAAAAAAGTATATTTCAAGTTTAAATTGTCCTTCTCATATATTTTGGGAATGATTTGTAGACTTTCGGGAGAATTTAGAGAAGAAAAAAATTTTAACCATAAAATTTAAATGCTGTAATATTATCTAAATACCAATGAACATGAAATTACTATGAAGGACTAAACAATTAGAGAAAATTAAGTAATGATTGTAGTGAAAGTTTTGAATAGTTGTTTCATTGTCTGTACATTAAAGATTCATAGTTATAAATAATATTAATGTAATAATTGTTTAATACATTTCTACATTCTGCTGTGGGCTACAACATTGATTTGTAGTTTTAGTATTTTATCTTCCACCTATTATTAAATAGAGTTGTAATGCCATTTCACATTCAAATAAGTTTTAAAAAATGTTGGTGAATTTTATATTTAGGTGATTATTAAGCTGAAGTACTAATTCAATCCTGTTTTTAGAATCTTTTCAGGAAAGACAAAACCATCTTTCAACAAAAACATGTATGAAAAAACTTTGTTATTTTAAGAAAGACCCTTTGTCCACAATTTATTTATTTTTTTAAAATGTTCAATTTTTAAGATTTTGTTTTTAATCTTCAAAAGAAAAAAATTGTTTGTGATAAAGCTAGATTTAATAATAATCTTCAGTTTAGGTAGAATTTTTTAAAAAAAAGACATGTATTTTATTTTATTGTTGAGCTTTTGGAGCCCCATCCACCACCATAACTTTTATTTTATTTTTGACAGTAATTGAATTCAATAATTATATTTTGAAAGTGTTAATATTTATATTTGAAGTTTAGAAAATTGTTTTATTTATTTATTTTTATCTTCCTCATCCACCACCATGATTTTTATTTTATTTTTGACAGTAATTGTTATTACAATTATTATATTTGTTAAAATAATTTTTTTAAATATATCTTTTTAGTGAATTTTATTAAAATATAACCAATTTTAAAATATAATTTTTCTCAAAATGTCATTGTATTTTATCAAAGTTTCTCGAGGAATTAAAGGAAGAAAGAAAAAAAAAATTCAGATTGATTTGTACCTAAAATATGTCTTTTATAAGATAAGCAATTATGTTAGAAAAAAATAATGAAAAAAAAATCTTATGAAAAGTACAAAGAAATTTAACAACAAACGAGTTGGATTCTTCAAACAAGTTAGATATTTTCATGTACATTATTTCCTATGTTGGAGCTTTTAATAATACGTAATTTTTATTGAAGATAAATCTTTTCATGATAATATTCTTATTAACTTCTATAATTTGTCCACATATATTGTATTTTTAAAATAATCAAATTGTAAATTTTAAATTGGTTTTAAAAAAAGTATTGTTTGAAATAAGTTTTTTTTTAATTATTTGCATCTGAAGGTTATGGGATCATGCTGTGAAAATGTGATTGGATATGTGCCTATACCATTAGGAGTTGCAGGGCCACTACATCTGGATAATGAAGAACTGTATGTTCCCATGGCAACAANTCTTGGTTTTTGGAAAGGTTATACATTGTGTTTTGTTATCACTAAATTTAAGATTATTATTATGAGCCCAGGATGACAGTTCGGAGAGACAGAAGGTGGCCAATTGGTCAAAGCGATAAAGAATTGGATGTCTTTTAATTAAATTGCTGCATTAATTAATTTTAGTTAACGAAATTACTTTCTTTCTTGGAGTGTGTTAAACACATTTAAAATTACATGTTTAAAAATCTTTTGATTCTTAACATTGAAAGTACAGATTAAAGTAAATATTTAATGCTGTCTTAATATAGACTTGCATAGCTGTAGAAAGTAAATAAACATGATTTTTTTCAAAAAGAAAAAAAAGCAAATGTTAATTAAAATTCTACCTTTTGATTAAAAAAGCATGGAATTCAAATCTACATTATAGTTTATTGATGGAAATTTCTACGTTTCTAAAGCTCGAGGTAATATTAAAAAGAAATTACCTTAATATGTCAAAAATAGAAAGAAAAAAAAAGAAGCTGAGTTCAGATATTTTTTCCTGATATAGTGCCATTCTTCCCTTACAAAGTCTATTTGAAGCAGTAGGGTTTATTAACTGGTATTTTTTTTTCTTCTTATAATATGTTTACGGTATCTTTGAAATTATCAGATTTTCTTTTGTGAAAAAAATTCCAATGAGTACATAGATTTTTTTTAAATGTATTTTAGCTTAACTTATGTATGATTAAAAATGAATATTTTAACATAAAAATTTATTGATTGAATATTTATTTTTTGATGAATGACAACATTTATAAACACAATCTGTTGCATTAATTTTGCCATTTTATAAATCATGAGGAAAAAAAAAAGAGATCACAATTTTAAATTAAAATTATGGTGTGCTAATTGAAACTTTGTGTTGTTACTAGTTAAAGTAGTATTCTTTAAATTATCTATTTTATCTTGTCTTTTAATTTCAATCATGCCCTTGTATCAAAATGGTCGCTATGCATTATAATGAAAAATTATTTTAGTAAGTTAGAGCTTCTAAAATATTGTTATAATATAGTTTTACTATTAATTTAATTTTGATTAAACATTTATAAGGTTTTTTTAATCATAAATTAAAGCTCTTATAGTGTTTTTGAATAGAAATCAAAAAAATCTGATTTAAATCAAAATAATCCGATTTAAATCAAAATAATCCGATTTTTTTTAAGAAAATCAAAAAAATCACGAACCCTGGTTATTAATGATGTTTAAGTAAGTGAGTGAAATCTATAGTTTTAATTTTATTTACCAGAACTATATCTATATTCAAACAGTTTTTAACTATTAATGTTTAAAATGTCTTTTGTAGTTGTCAGGCGGAGTAAGAAGTTGCCTATTAGGAGACGGCATGACTCGAGCACCAGTGATTGAAATGCCTACTGAAATTGAAGCTGGGTTAGTGATATCTTTTGGTTATTTAACATAAATTGATGCCAATTTTATCCCATATATGTAATTGAATAACACATTTACGATTATCTACTTTCTCTTTTCTTTGTTGAAAATAATAACTTCAAATAAAGTAGCATTGAGTAGGTTTAACTTTTCTGAATGGCACAATGCCATTTAAAAAATTTATTGTTAAAATGCTTGAATTTAAAATTTTTAGCTTCATCTTTTTATTTCTAAACAGTGTCACAGTATTAGATATTCTACCCACAAAAAGCGTATGGGTATACTTAAATGAAAAAGTTTATTGTTTTCTCAAGTTGAGCATTATTTGCACTTAGACCTACTGGTTTAAATATTTGCTGTATTGGAAGGTTAACTAGGGTTTACTGAATAAAAATACTTACAGTTTGTTTAAGTTTTGTGATTAAAAAGTTTTTATAACTCAGAAATGCCACCTTAAATGTCAACATAAAAAAATTATATGGTATGGGAATATAAAAATTATGGCAACTGACATGAACATATTTGTTTTTATTTTTGTTACATTATTTTAAGTAATTATTGTGTTTGTTTTTAGTCACATTAAACAGTGGGTTGAGAAAAAAGAAAATTATGAAGTTTTAAAAGCAGCCTTTGATTCTACAAGTCGGTAAGTGTTTTCCTGAATTACATGAAAACATCTTTCACAATTTAAATGAATAATTATATAATATATATATGCAATATAAAGAATAATAATTGAAAATATGTTATATTATCTAAGCATATATTAATACTGAAAAACTATGAATAATTGTAAAAAAATATTTAAAATTTTAAAAAATTCCAACAGTTTTTAATGCTACATTTCTTAAGTAATATAGAATTATATGAAGAAGTGGGAAGTTGATTTCGCTTAAAAAATGTCATGTTGAAATTTAGAAATAATTAAAACTGCATTAGTAAAAAATAGATGAATTTTGTCAAACTGAGTAAAAAAAAATCTTCAAAATGAAAAGAGCTATCCCTAGCACAAAGTTAAAAAGCTTTGCATTTTGTATGAGAAAAATGCATAATTTTAAAAAGAAATTTAATATAAAGAAATGCTTCAAACAAATGTATAGGGATATAACAGGGTTCCCATGGGTCAAGGAGAACAGAGAAAACCTGGAATTGTCAGGGAATTTTATTTTAACTCCAAAAATCAGGGAAAGTTTCAATTTTTTTTCTTCAAAAACTTGGAAAATAACCAGTCTTAAAATTTCCAGTATCAGTAATCAGTTATCGAGATTCGAGTTAAATAATTCTAAGATCTATTACAATTATTTGTTGTAAAAAGTTTAGCATTTTAGTCAAACTGAAATGTTCCCTTCCTCATTTAATAATATTTTTTTATACAGAAAATATAATATTTCACATTACATATAAAAGAATCAGGGTTTTCTGTTGAAAATATGGTTTCCATTGTTATTGAAATTTACCTGGTATACCTGGAAAAGTCAGAGATTTTTTCTTTCTGAAATTGGGTGGGAACCTTCGTATAATTATTCGAACAAACCATCAGGTTTAAATTGTAAAGCAGTAGTTGGTAATTCCTTTAAAATTTAAAAGCTGGTTTTGATAATTTTTTTTTATATAGAAAATGCTATTACACAATTTATTTTTGTTTTAATATTAGAGCTCATTTGCAATTTTTAAGCTCAGTTGTTAATGTAAAACATGTTATTTGCTAAATTTCACTGTTTTTTTTTATTCAGTTATTTTTTTATTGTAATTTTTTATTTTTTTTAAATTTAAGTTTTTGGTATTCCTTATAGGTTTGCTCGGCTGCAAAGTTTGGAAGTACAAACTGCTGGTCGTCTTGCATTTTTACGATTTAAAGCCACTACAGGAGATGCCATGGGAATGAACATGCTTTCAAAGGTAATATTAGTAGGATTTTATAAATTTGTGCATACCAGTTTATATTTTTCACTTTTCTTAATAATATCAATGATAACTCTTTTTTATGTGCAGGGTTCTGATGAAGCTTTAAATAAGTTGAGAGAAATTTTCCCAACTGTTAATGTTTTGAGTCTTAGTGGAAATTATTGTACAGATAAAAAGCCAGCAGCAATCAATTGGTAAGATTGCAGTGTTAATTTTTTAAAGTTTAACATAATTTCTACAAAACAAGTAAATCTATCTATCTATCTATATTTTTTTTTTGTCAGAAAAAGAAGTACTGAAGTATAAAGGAATATAGCAAAAATTTATTTTGCAGTTCCGAATTTTTATTTTACTGCCAGGAGACTAATAATTGTAGGTCCACATACATGACCCTTAGGTTTTAACTAAGTAAAATAATATAAATATTTCAAATGTTAAATTGCTTGCAACTAAGAAACAAAAGTTTATATATGTGTACGAAGGCTACGAGGTAATGAAGGGGTTAAATGAGCCCTATTATTTAACTGTTTGTTCTTTTTCCTAATTTTACCCCAAAAACAAAATATATAATATAGGCCAATTAAGGGAATATGAAATAATCTGTATCAATTGACAAGAAATTTTATGCTAAAGATTTTTTTGAAACATTGGATTAAAAAATTAAAGGTATTTTAATGTACGATGAACAATTTTAATTTTAAAAATTGATGGAACCATAGGAACAAAAATTACATCTGCAGTTGTCGGTAACTGCGGTGGCGCATAATCAGTCTTATGCAAAATAACTCTTTTTCTAAATAAACTTTTTTTTTATCAACAATGATTCCAATATCTTAATTGTGGCTCACCTAATTTGAAAAACAGCACACATATTTGAAGCCCCAAGCATTGGCTCTAATTATATAGCTTTTAAAAGTTAATTTTGTGTGTACAAATACAATTTTGCTTTAATGAATTAAATATGTTTCATAGGATTCAAGGTCGTGGAAAAGAAGTAGTGTGTGGTGCCCAAATACCAGCCAAAGTTGTCAGAGAGGTATATTGTGTTTAATGTAAAAAATAAGCTAATTGTGCTTATTATGTGAACAAATTTATACAAGTTACTGAATTTTTGTTTTACGCATAGGTTTTAAAAACTGATGTCTCATCTTTGGTAAAATTGAATATAACGAAAAACCTCATTGGTTCTGCTATGGCAGGAAGTATAGGTGGATTTAATGCTCAAGCAGCAAATATTGTTACGGCCATTTATCTGGCTACTGGTCAGGTAAGAACTATTAAATATTAAACGTATCTATGAACTGTAATTTTTTTTCCCCTACATTTTGATTCTTCCAAGTGTTTCCCAAAGAATGATTCCTAATCAAGAGATAATTACATTGTTTAAAGGAAGGAATAATGTTGCTTTTTTTTTCCTACTGCATCTTTAGAAAATGTTATTTACAAAATACTTTTTTGAGCTTTTTAATGAATTAGATTTAGCATGAAATCCATCAAAAACTATTTCTGTTGGAAAAGTTGTGCATGTTGCACAAAAGGAATTTCTTGAATATAAAATGGATTTTTAAACTATAGAGATATTTGATGAGTATAACTTAATATTTTTTAACAATTGAGTGGAAATATTAAATATGTTACTTTAAAAACAACACTGCAAAATTAGAAGTAAAATATCAGTTTCATTATTCTGAAATATATATATATATCATATCACTTACTTAATTTTACGATGTTTAGTTCACTTTACTAAATTTTTGTAAATTTCAGCAACATATTATTCTTATTTAAAAAAGCTGCTTCATTATCATTTATTTTTATCATTTTTCTTTTTCTTTCTTTTTAAAAAGTGCCATATTTCTATCAAAATTAGTTTGCCATTTAGTAGCAAATATAAATAAATATCTATAAGATTGTAAGTAAATATTTACTATATTCTTGTATGCTTTCTTTTTTCATGATAAACTGACCTCATATTATATATACAGACATATACCAACCATTTTTTGTTTGATGGCAGGTCGTTATAATCAAACATTAATTTTATGTATCCGGAAAATCTAACAATTTTTAAACAAATCTTTAAAATTCCTCAAAATGAATATTATTTTTGTTTTACATAAATCAATATTCTATAGGTAGCGAGAAATAAAAATTAAGTAAATTTTAACAAATAATAAGTGGTATTTATGCGTTGTGAATCACATGATTTTAAAGTTTAATAATATATGTTAAAAATATTTACAGGATCCTGCTCAAAACGTAACCAGTTCCAACTGCCTGACACAGATGGAAGTTTGGGGAGATGATGAGAAAGATCTCTATATCAGCTGCACAATGCGATCAATAGAAGTGGGCACAGTTGGTGGAGGAACTTTCTTACCTGCTCAATCCTCTTGTTTAGAAGTAAGACTGAAATTTTAATTTTCATTTAGTTTTTTGAAAGATAATTTCACTTCTAAAGATAAAAAATAAAAAAAAATTCTAATTTTACTTTTAAGAGAATTTGATAACTTAAGTTTAATTTTTGGTTATGCTGCTCAACTATCAAGGAGGCTTGTAGATTATATCAGAGAAAATTTCATCATTATCTACATAAAAAAATGGGATGAATTTTAAATTGAATCCTTTTGTTTAGAAATCCATTTAATTTATCATCAAGTACGTTTAAAAATTCAGTTTACCACGTAATAATGTCAATGAGTTAAAAAGTGATATGAACAATGGAGATAAACCACTTTTTTGTATTAAGTTAATGCTTTTGTATTAAGTTAATGCTAAGCTCAATATTAAAATTGTATTGTTTTCCCCAATCTTTCTGGCTTGATACATCACTATATTTTTCCATTCCTCCATGAAAACAAGTTTTTCCCAATGCTTGATTCAGGATTTTCTGAGTTAAATTACAAAGCTGCAAATTTTTTTAATAAAAATGAGTGGAAAAAAAAGAGTAATGAGTCTGATGTGGATTGGCTATTTGTAAAATAATATAAAATGCTTATAACATTACTCCTTAAGTCTTACAAAATAGCACTAGTTTGACTCCATTAAAAAAACTGAATTAAAGAAAGGGTTATTAATACACTCTCAGTATTAGATGCTAATGTTTAACATGACATAAAAAAAAAAGTTTAATGCTCAAATGTTTCATTATGTTGATAAATTTATTCTAAATAAATAGAAATTCATAATTTAACGTATATTACATTCACATAAATAAAAAAAATAATACACACTTTTTTTTAATGTTACAAAATATTTATATAACCTATTTTACCTGATACTATTATAATGTCTGAATCTCTTGTAGATTTATCCCTCCCCCTATAGTGCCTTATCAAAATTAATTTTCTGTTATAGCTATTATTGTGTATTAAAATGTTTTTTTTGTAGCTTTTAGGGGTAAAAGGTTCGTGTGAGGAAAGCCCTGGTGGGAATGCGTCTAAACTAGCAAGAATTGTTTGTGCTACCGTTCTTGCCGGAGAACTGTCTCTAATGGCGGCTCTTGCTGAAAACCATCTTGTGCAATCACATATGACTCATAATAGGTAATTAAATGATTTTGTCTTTCTGTTATAGCTTCATTTGTGTTAAATTTGAATGACATATTTAAAAAAGTAAACAATGGATTTTTTCTAAATCGTACCGACGAATCTAGGTATATATATATGACACAATGACAGTTTGTGCCTCAACTGATGTGCTATAAGTATTTTTCTTTTAAAACATCATGTGCACCAACAATTAGTATATTTTTATCTATCTTGTAAACCATTAAGATAAGTGTGTTAAAACCCAAACCTTAAATCAATAGTTATTTAGGCATTTGTTTTTGTGCACACTGTACATCTATTATTCTATTCTATTTTATTAGTTGACAGAAAAGGTGCTATTTTCCATTATTTGAACTTTAAATTGAGATGCCTTTCATTTGGTTATGCTAAACAAATGTAGAAATTGCATTAAAATTTCCACTTATAAATGTTTCTGTAAAACATTTAGTCATCTCATCTGATTGATGATGTTGTTTATTCCAATTGAATTTTATTCTGATTGAAAATGTGTGACTTGCAACTAGTTGCAATTATTCATTCTTATGAAATTACATGCTTTGGGTTGAACAAAATAATGTAAACACTTCTATACTAAGTCACTTTTTCATATTTGTCGAGAAATACTTAGAGAATTGTTTTAAAACTTTAGAACTGTTTAAGTCGTGGGATTTCTTGTATATATCAATAAAGTTACGTTTGCTTTTTTTTTTTGGTTTGAAAAGGTGCAATTAGTTACTAACAAAGAAGGATGTTTTTGAACACCTTATGCCAAAAATACAGTGATAAGCAATTATGTCGATTATCATATGAAATAACTACACAAAATTTCGTAAACCTATCTTAAATATTAGTGGAAATATGGACATTTTTATAAATAAAAAAAAAACTGATTTATTTGACTTATGTTTTCTAACTATAACTGCAGAAATATTCAATTAAATTAAATCATATTTTAGATTAATAATAAAAATATTTTAAAATTGTGCAAGATATGTAAGTAATCTTTTCATACTGTGCATGCGCAGAAAAACATATAAATCTTTTTTTCATAATTTTCGTTACGTGTTTGGTAACTTAAATATCTTGAAAATGCAAAAGTTTATAGCAAACTTCTAAGTAGCTTTTGTACTTTTTTATTGAAAGTTTCAAATGACAAGGGGTTTTCCACAAATTTCATTTTCTATCATAATGTCACTGTATTTTTTGACATAGGTATTCAAAAACATTTTTTTCCATTCATAATTGACGTCCCTCTAAACTTTATTGATATGTGTGAGATATCGCATGATTTTAAACACTTCTAAAGTGTTCATTGAAAAATATGAAAACATGAGTTAGTGTGGAAGAGTTTCCATAATTTTATCCAAACCTCTGTATTTTTATAATGTGTAGTAACGAAAAACATGTTTTTTTTGTTTTTTTGACAGGTCTTCTGTTAATATTGCATCAGCCGTACCTCGATCTTCATTAGATATCTCATCCAATGTTATATCAAGATAGCAAAAGCTATTTACAACACAGACTTAAAGCCAAATCTCAAAGTTTTCTTTTTCAATACAAGACTGCCAAATGGGCATTAGGAAACAGAATGATGTTCAAATCAGTGATAAGACAGCTACAGTTGACGAGTTTTGTTCCAAACTTAAATAATAATTTCCTTAGTTGAGTGAGCACATTTTTTTTTACCATCAAAGTATACAAGCTTTTTTTTTATTGTTAGAGAAAAGAAATCATTTGTAAATAGGAAGTTGATGATAAAAATAGAGCTTAATGTATGATTTACAAATGTAAAATAATCTATTTAATTAATGTAAAATAGTTTATTGTGTATTAAAGGAGTGTTTTTTAACTATGTATCATGTAATTAATTGTACTACATATGATTTATTTACATTATTTTAATGTGCAGTTAATACATATTTATAAAGGATCACATAACTTTTTCAACATCATAGGATTGTTACCACTCAAAAATTTTAGTTGTTGCCTGCCTTCATCGGATCTAGCTGCAAAGTAAAAAATATATATATTTAAGGAATATTTAGTAAAGTAACATTTTATAAATACTAACACTCATATTAGCTTTTAGTTTTTTTTTTCGTATAACACTTCTTCCAAAAGTTCAAATTATTGAATACAATTTTACTAGTTTCTCCCTGCATTTTAAATATTTTTTGATAATTTAAATAAGTAATATTGCTTAATGAATTAAAACTGAAATGTTACTAGTAAACTTTGACAATTAAATAAAATATTAGTTCATTTTTATAGCTGTTTGCAGCTATAAGAAAAGGAAGATTTGGAATGTAGCACTCTGAATCTCAATAATTTTCTTATCAAATATACAATCAATTCACTGTTAGTTAAATGCTATTACTAAAGACTTTCCACAAGTTATTTTATATGTTTATAAAACTCTTTATTATAATGATTATTGAAATTTTCTTTAGTAGAGTTTTTATCGAAAAATAAAAAAGTGCATTAATCAAAGTATAGAGATTGAACACAGAATTACAAGACAAAAAAACTATTTTGCTAAAAACATTAATCTAAGAAAAGGAAGAATTATGTGCAAGGCTGCCAATTATCTAAACTTTGTGGAGGAAATTTCATCTAGTGTTAGCAAAGTTAATGCATTTAATATACAGTTCTTAGTTTTGCAAACCACTATATGTGAATGATTCGAAAGTTTATATGAAGAGCCATTTTGCTCCAGTTGTCTTGCAGTAAAGTAAATTAACCGAAATTCTAAAATCTTAAGATTTTAATTGTCTCTCATTCTTTAAAATGGTTGGCAGCCCTGCATATGGATTCTGACAATAGTTTACAAGTTATAAGAAAATAACTTATCTCACTAATGGTGCTTTAAAAAAATGTCCATGTTTTTATTATTATTTTACTATGTCTTTATTAAAATGCTTCCATATAATGGTAAAAAAAAAAGTTTTTAAATATTTTTTCATTTTGGACTAAATTAATATGGCATATACATACTATACAACCCAATATAAACACTTAAATGAACTTAATTTTGTTAAAATATAAAATTGTCAAAAGAATGTCAGTTCAGCTTTTGCCCCATTTTTAACACATATCACTTTGCATGACAAAAATTCTGCATTTGTGACAGATGCTCTGCTTTCGGCAAGAAATTTTATAAAGTAACATAATATTGAAAACGAAAAAAAAAATGCTTAATCTTGTTTACTTTCAAAGGCTCACCAGAAAGCCATTCAAACAAAGTGGTATGTTATAGGAACATTTGAATTATTTAAATGTAGTGGGGAGCAACATAACTTTAAATTTTTTTTACCAAGAATTAACAAAAACTTTTTCCACATCTCAGAAATGATGAGGCAAATATACTTTTAAATAACCTACTTTTTTAAACAATTTATAAAAAGGAGGGGAAAAAAACAGCTTTTAGAAAAAAGTTTCAAAAACTTGCATGCCAGGGGTCTGTTTAGAAGAAATTTGGGTCCGTTAACGGACCCTTCACAAAATATCTATTCATAAAAACGGACCCTTCACAAATTTTTTTATCTTCATGATTGTTTTGTTAATCGAATAAACCCTTCTGAGGGGGAAAATAAAAGAAAGATGGATGTAAACGAACTAAGTTTTGTCTTCGGCAGACGCTTCTTCCATTATTCGTCCAAAATGAATATTCTGTATTCAGCAGTATAGGCTAAATACCAAATATTTGTATGTTGCATCTCAAATTTAGAAGCAGCAATTGCTGTTTATTTTAGAAAATAAACAGCAGTTAAATAAACAGAAACAGCATAATCTTGTATCTATTTACAATTTAAAAACTCCTTGAAAAAGTTTTTTGCAATTACCGGACCCTATTTGCACAAATGCTTAACCTTGGTTGAAAAAATGTGACTTAACGTTTATTTTATATTCACAAATTAGAGTAATTTTTTCACAATTTTACAAAAATGGACCTTTCTCAAAATGTCTGGACAGACCCCTGCATGCAGTATTAAAAAATTTATAAAAATTCTCTTTTTGTGTCACCCTATCAACAAAAGTTTCCTTTCTTTGCAAGGAATAATTAGTAAACTTACCATGTTCAGATTGTATCCAAAGTCTATCACAGTAGTAATCTATAGTGCTCATCAGTTCTTTATCAGTAAATATGCTTGTGTTAATGGGAATGAAGGGATCTAAAAGTTCAAATCCCTATAAAGTACAGAAATAAAAGATAAGCATTAAAAAAATTTCCATTTTAATTACATTTTTTTAATAAATCTTTACTAGACAAAGTTTCGAGTATCATAAATGATATGATATATTGAACAACTTATAAATATCTGAGGCATGCAACTGCAAATTGTTTAACAATATTTAAAGTAATCAATTAAAAGAAAACAAAATAAATAATAAAATTATTAATTTTAAGAATAGAAAAAGTTGCAAGGAATGCTCACAAATTTAACTCCCAACATCTTTTCAAGTAAAAAAAAGGGAAGGGGGCTAAAAAAAGAACCAAAACTATGAAAATTTCAGCCAAAAAGGAGAAAAAAACAACCATGTTTGAAAGATGGATTAAATGTTTTTATAACATTCTTTTTGTTAATTAAAAAAATATAATTTTCTTTCATGAATTTATATTTATAAATATATTATATAAAATTATTTAAAACTATAAAAAAATATATATATAAAATTATTGCTCATAAACAATACATTGTATTGGTTTCTAAGATAATTAGAACATTACTTCAATATGTTTAAATTAGTAACAGCATTAGAATAGTTATGAGATATTTGTAAGAAATATTCATATTCCATTTGCAACAATTGTCTGTCATTTTATAAAATGCTAAGCCTACAAATCCCAACATGAAAAGTATATTGCATTTATTAATTTGCTGAAAGCATAGAGGAGAGTAATACATATATATCACATAGTTCTACAGTTATCTTTGAATTTTATTAACTTTAAAAAAAATATCAAAAAATTTCATTATTTCTAATTTTGTATTTATTTTAAAATATTTAGATTTCTGATATTCTGAATATAGATTTCTGAATATTCATGTTCTTTTCTAAAGTCAAACAAGCCATGCCAAAGCAGTTATTTCAGCTTGATTTTCAAAAAACTGATGGAATAACATGGATTTCCAAAACTACAAATGAGAATTTTAAGATTACTATAATTCTGAAAATGGTTGTCAACTTAAATTAGTGTTAAGCATGTGATCATACTGTAGTAGATAATAAGTCTAATAATTTTTGTTACGTCATTTTTTAAAGATAAATAGTAATACTCATCAACTTCAAAAGAATAAATGGATTTTTGAGATATTATAATTTTTAAAAAGTGGATTTGAGAAGAATTTCAGTTTCAAATATTTTAAATTATTTTTTTTATCCATTTTTGTTCTGTATTGAATAACTGAAATATGTGACACAAAATTAATTCATCAGTTAAGTATATCTATAGCAAAGGCATGGCATGAATCATACCAACTTGAAAATCACAGTTTAAAAGGAAGATTCATATTTTCTGGCTCCATATAATCAATTTGCTTCATTCAAGATTAAAACATTTAAGGATATAGTTCATTCTTAAAAAATCACAAGATTGGATATTTTTTACGAAGTCACTGAAAGTGATTGAGAAATGGTAACTAATTCAAAATATAAAATAATTTTTGATTTAACAAAAGCATTATAATGTGCATTAAGACACACAGAAAAAAAAACGATTTTTAAGTAATTTCACTAATTTAAAAGCAAAAGTACAAAGAGAATGTTGCTAAACTTTTTTATATAGCTTTATTTAAAACTTCTATCTTCATTGAAGTGTTTAATAAATTAGAATAACTATTTTTAAATGAAAAAGAAATCATATGTTTTGAAAGTGCCGAGCTCCATCCCACTATATTTATCACAGATTTCACTGGGAAAGTAAATAAAGAAAATGACCCCTAAATTCCACACTATAAAGATTTGTGATTGTTGAGTTGTTAACTCATACCCATAAAGTCACTTAAGTATCAAAAATTCTAAATTACTGTAGGTAAAAATCAAAAGCTAAAACATTTTTGCAGTTTAAAGTCTCTAAGTTCTAAATAGGTTAACACCAGAATTACAAAGTTTTATTATGGTGAATTACAATGCTCAAATATCAATCGAAATTAATATTTGAACATTAAAATGTGATAAATATGTAAATTGTAAACTGCATTGTGAATGTTAATTGAGAAATTTAGATTAGTTTTAAATTAGACCTCTCCCCAGTGTTTATTAATAATATTAGCTATTTTAAAAATTCATGTTAAAATGTCCATTTATCATCTAAAAATCAACAATTTAATAACATAACTGATTTATATTTTTAAAGAATGAACACTTTTAGTGAAAACTAGCATTATTTTAGATAGCTGTACAATATTAAAAACACATTGAAAAAATAAATAGAAAAAGAGCACTCCATGGCCCCTGAACATTAATTTCAAGTTAGCTCTTTCTGCATTTCAAAATGGTAGAGGAAATACAATTTGGGGATTTTTGGGGATTTAGACAAATAAAATAAATAACAATTGGGTAAATAATGGGATTTATTTAGGAATTATTTAACATAAATATGCCAAAAATATTAACTTATTAGAAAACAAATAATAAATAGAAATTAAACATATAAAAGTTCAGGTACTAAAACTAGCCAAATTTTATACAAAGAGTTATGAAAGAAATCATTTTAAATTAAGGAATAATGGTTATTTCATACAAGATTTAAAGTTACAAAAAATTGTAACAGGAAATCTACAAGGAATTGTAATTGTTCCTAAAATACATTTTTATATCTAACTAAATTCTTAGTGGTATTTTTTTATCCAATGTTCCATATATTTATAATGATTAATTAATAAAATATTCATAATTATTACTTCTTTCCCTAAAAGGTAATGTGGCGTACATTGAACATACAGCTTAGCATAACGGTCATGTGGTATCATATCAGCACTTGTAATAACTACAGCATTATTCTGTAAAAAATAAAATATTTAATTGGTATGCATTTAATACAATTTATCAATAAGTAATGAAAATAGTAATTGACACAATACCAGAATAAAAATTGTACTATAATTATGTTAAGACACATAAAGCCACATCATAAAAATTTTACACATTTCTAAATTGCTTATGCAATTAAATAAAAGTTCAGTTTTTCAAAATCACTAATAATATCTTTTAAAAAAATTGCTTTATTTTAAAAATACACTAAATTTTAAATTTTTTAAACAAAAAAAAACATTTTTTTTCTCAAAATTTTCATTGTTTAAAAGTGTTTTCCCTTCCGAATAAGTATCTGTTTGCTTTCTTCATCAAATCAAGATGTCAAAAATATAAAAAAGTATATAGCAAAAACATTACACCACATTAACTATAGTCATTAATGATAACATATTTAGTATCATGAAAATTTTAATGCAGCACCAATAGAAGTTAAAAGTTTGGGCCCCTTATAATTTATTATTTTTTTCTTTTCTGAATTTTTTCGAACATCTCAGGAACAAAATGAGTAAATCATATGATATTTTTGAGCACAATTGTAAATCACTCATAGTTTTTGACATTTTAATTTTTATTGTTTCCAAATATTCATTTTTTTATATAATAGTAATTTAGGAGAATCTCCTCTACAATCATAAAACTGTGGTATGAAGAATTTTCCTCATATTTAATTCTAGATAATATACTATCCAAATCTAGATAGATGGGTGTTTCAGCACAAAAAAAACCAAGGCTTTTTCTATATACAAAAGTAAATGTAGGAGTAGGTAGAAAATATAGGAGTGAGATTTTTTTTATGTTCACAATCATTTAAGAGGACCACCAGTTGTTTAAAACACTGTTATTCATTTGAAGGTAATTTCAATCAAGCATGTATCTTCTTTAATAATTATTATTTAATTTAATAATCACCAAACTAGTAAGACAAGCAACTATCTACATTATATTAAACTGTTTAATTTTAAATGATAAAGTACAAAGCTTAAAATAACTTGGAAAAATAGTTTCTAAAAATTAATAGTTTAAAAATGAATTAAAATATAATAAAATTATAGCTACCCTATATTTTGTAGTATAAGTCAACATTTCAAAACTCAAAAATTTGATGAAAGTCAGAGGATTGACTTATACATCAGTATTAAAGTCAGACATTTTTTGATCATAAAATATCGATGCATTGTAAACAATAAAACAGATAAAAATAACGCTGTTCGATTTATCACTTTCAAAAACTATTTCTGTTTCGTTATCATATAAAGTTTATTTTTTTTAAAAAAAAAACATACTTTAAATTACGTCAAGAATAAGTAAAGAAAAGAAAAACAATGAAAATTTTTAAAACATACCAAAAAGTTACAAAGTAAAAGATTCCAAAATATCATCTATGCAAGATTCTATAACATTAACAGTGTTGTCATACGTATCCCACTCTGCTATGTATTCTTCATCCTTTATATACTGAGTCCCACATAAAATTTTCTTTACCCCACCCAAAAAATCAAAAAAATTTTAAAAGATTTTACAACATTTGAAACCATTTTTGTTTATTGTCTAATTACATCATACACATCCAGTATCATGTCTTAGTATCATTTGACAAAACACACATTTGACATCTAGTATCATTTGACAAAAAACATGACATGTGGGCAAATGTATCATATCAAGATAGAACAATGTCAATGTTCAAAACAATGAAATAGGCTATTTTATAATCAAAATAGCTAGTCTACTTATACACCAGTATATATGATAATTTAGGAATGATTAACATACATTAAAAGGAGCCCTCAAACTATAATGACATGCAAAGGAAACAGATTATTGAAAAAAGGATTATTTATCTGAAAAAATTGGCTTGAACATGGCTTAACCAGCAGTACAAAGATAACATCAACAATTAATTACATAAAAAACAAATAATTATGCAAAAAAAATATTTTCAAAGAAGGTGAAACAACATACCCAATCATTATTTAAAAGTTTCTTCATGGCACGAACAATTGTAATATCATCTGCCAAAGCCTGAAATTAATGTAATAAGAATAAAAGACATAGTAAGCTAGCTTGTACATTTTGGAAAAGAATAAAATCTCAATTTGTTTGAATAGCACTCTGAATTTGAGAAATGACATACAACATATAGCTTAATTGTTAATTCATTTACTTTTATTAACTCAATTGTTTTAAATATAGAATAGTATAAAAAATAACTTACATTTAAACTTTGAAATTTAGACATCATGTTAATAAAGAACTATAAATAACATAATAGATAAACTATAATAAAAATAGCTCTAATCTATAAGATACAAAATTTGATTTCAATAAGATACAAAAATAGCAAAACCATCAGATTAAGTGAATCAACTTGAGCATTTATTTCACTGCAAGACTTACTGAACTAATTACATTAAAAAAAGATTAAAATATTATAGGAATTAAAATATTATTTAGCATGTAAAAAATTATAACTAATTTGATAAATTAAATAATATTTTATGAATTAATATCTTATAAGAACCTCAAGGACAGGTCAAAAAATAGAACAATTTAAATGCATAAAAATTTACTTTTGAAAGAGACAAAGTGTTTAATTTAAGTTAACATAAAATATGACATAAATTCAATAGTATAAATATTTTACCATTATTTAAAACAACTGTAACATACCACAGATTTATCGGCTTTTTTAAACTGAAATTTATTGGTTTTTGAAAAGAAAGCATTTACACCATCAACCACAACTGCTGTTTTGAACCTATATTAATAAAACAAATTAATTAATTAAACAGAAAATACAAAAGCCTCTTGTTTTGAAGTTTTTCAACCTCCTATATGCTTTAAACCAGAAGCAGCCACACTGTAGTGATCATCGACCCCTAAAATTTTATAATTCTCTTATCGACCCCCTCTGTAAAAAATTACACGAAAAAGCGTTACTTGTATCTTAAATTATTTATTTTATTTTGATAAAATTAAATTTTTACGTAAATCAATGAGAGGGATGTGGCCTCGGAATTCCACATTCAATTTATTTCTCTGCTTTGTTAAAAAAGAATTAGCAGGGCTATAGCTATATTCAACCATGCATGAGCTAAGGAATGCAAAATTTGTCAAATATTTATATTTGTTCAAAATTTACTCAGTAAAATTATTAAAAAGCATCTATGCTTTAAGGTCAACTGATAATTCACAAACTTACTTTTGCAAGAACCAGTCAATATTTTTACCTTGGGCAGAAAGTGAGGCGATAATTACCTCCAATGCATAATTTAAAATAATCACTTAATTTTTAGTGATGATTTCTATTATTTTCATTCTTTGTCGGTTGTAGCTAATTGTCGTATAATTGAAAAGGATTGAAAATCAACAATTCTTTAAATAACAATGGAAACTTAGACAAGTTTATTTTAACTTGAAAGCTTAAAATAACTGTCCATGCATGAATTTATGTAATATATNTATATATATATATATACTTTTTATCACTTAAGGCAGGATTGATTTCTGTAAGAAATTCTGTAACTGTTTCAAACAATTCAAAACATCTTTGCAAACACGCTTCTCTTGACATACATCATATTTATGTGAATGTAATAATACAGAGCTCTCATGGTACAGTACACAACCCGTTATCCGGAAATCAGAAAACCGGAAAACCAAAAAACCGGAACGAAATTCCATAAATTTTCCCGCCATTTAAAAAAAAAAAATTTTTTTTTTCCTCATAAGATTTTTTTAAAGATGCTTACCTTACCATAATTTTGAAAATAATCATTAGTGTATTACTCCATCTTTTTTCTTCTTTTTAAGATTCTTTAAAAAAAAAAACGGCTTTTTGTAGCGATTCAGAAAACCGGAAAAATCAGTTATCTGGATTAGCGATGGTCCCGATCGTTCCGGATAATCGGTTCCCTACTGCACTTAAAAAATTTTAAATGTCACATCAATATTGTTATAAAAGTTATATATACATTCTCATTATCAAAGGAGAAGTAATACTCATTGAGAGTTCATTGGAACCATAAATTTGCCCTTATTAACCACAGAGTCAATTAATGAGAGACCACACCTAATGAGGCCTTATTAACCTAATGAAAGACCATGGTACATTGAAGACTATAAATGATACTTATCACACAATAAAAACTAACTTTGTAGTTTTTAAAAAAAATCACTTTTGTAAACTAAAGAGAGAGTTTGATGAACGTTTGGAAAAGAGCTTTTTTGACATTAATAGATTTTCAAATCATGCAGTAAGGGCTCAAAATTATGATGAATATGACAAAATAATCAAAGATTATTTCAAAGAACGTTCATCTCCCTGCAGAACAATTTATGTCTAAGTTGCAATAAAAACTTTATATGCTGTTAATCTTTGTTCTATTATGTAGTCGTTTATACATAATTCAATTAATACTTAATTATTCAATGTTCCTTAGTTTGGAATTTTAGTTGGATCATGAAATTAGTGAACATTTAAAAAAAATTTCAGTTCAGTGAGAAATTATAGAATAATTTTAATGATACCCACAAAAAATTTATAATTATCAAAAGTTTTGTTACAGAACACTAGACATAATTCTGCTTCTGGGTTACAGAATATTCATTACAAAACTTTTTTTAAAAAAACTACATTACCGAACTTCTACAGATCTATACAGAATTTCTACAAAACTATTTACTACAGAAATTTTTAATGCACATTTTAAATTGATAAAAAGAAAATATAAAAGTGAAATTTAGGGGGGGGGGCGAACTTATAATTAAAAATCAGATTAATTTAAATATTAAAAGAAACTATGCTATGGGTAAGAGATAATTATGTTTTACCTGCCAGACTGCGAAAGAAGTTTAATTTCTTTAAGAAGTACTGCTACACAATCAGAAGCGTGTCTTACTCTTTCAATACCCTGCATAGAATAATTATTATTAATTGTTAAAAATTAAAAAGAAACTAGTTCATACATGAATAAAAGCAAAAAAGAAAATGGATACAAGTAGGCACTAAACTACAATGAACATAAACTATTGTACATTTAAAAAATATTACAGTTCCCTCATGAAAAAACACACTTCTAACATAGCATAATAGAAATTATTCATGCAATTTAACTTTTAGAACAAACGCTTTCGAATATAGGCTAGGTCAGGGCTCGAAAAACTGCCCATCCTCGGCAGTCAAAAATTCCCCGAAGACAACGAATTTCTCGAATCCGGAGTTCACGTGGACAGCCATTTTCCTGTTAATGTTCGTGATACATTTTCAATTTTTGTTATCTTACAAGAGTCTAGCGCCTCACTTCTAAAATGACCCTCTAATACTAGGGTTTACTATTAGTAACCTAGTATTTCTTTTATTACTGTATAATGTAATCCTAGTATTTGTAATTCTAGTAATTACTAATTCATTGTGCAATTTATATAAATGTTTGTAATAAATTAGAGAAAATTATATGTTTATTTATTTAGAAGCTACGGCTAGTTTCAAAGGAGAACGGGTACATTGTTGGACAAGCCGCTCTCGGGAACGAGTAAAGTTTTTTCGAGCCCTGGGCTAGGAAACATTTCAACCAAATTAGAAAAATTATTAAAAAAAAAAGAGAAAATAAAATATTAATAACATTTCAAAATTTACTTTGAAAACCAATTTGTTTAACAATTGATTTCATTCATCTGACTCATTATTGTACTGTACTACAAAGTACTGTAGTTTAAGAAGAAATAAAAATTAAATCATTCATATAGTTCAAATCATAAATTTAAACAAAAAAAATATTTACATGTTCAATAACATCTGTAAGAGGAGCTCCTGCTTCAGTAACTTCTCTTTTACTCCAAGTGTAGGATTTTGAAACTCGTAACTGCATAACATGATAGGAAACAAAATAAATCGATTAACTATAGTTTCATGAAAAACACCAACACAAAATTTTAGTGCAAAAACAATAAACCTCATTTTATGTAACTGTCTTAAACTAAGTATTTTATGCTTTCTAAAAATAAAATTAATCTTATTTTATCTTATGATTTAAGTTGAACAGCAGACCCATTTTTGAGTTTACGACTATCAATGTTCAACTCCGTAGCGTGGTAATTTTGAGCCTAACCCAAAAGACAAAGGAACTCCTGAAAAAAGTACCAGAAAAATTTTAACATTCATGGATGACTTTCTGATGGAACTAATTTTAGTCGTTTCTCTCCATGGAACTTTGCATTACATGGGGAGGAAAACCATGAAAACCTCCCGTGAACCGCAAAGGGATTCAAACTAATTATGCGTCTACCACTGAAGCATGGATTCTGTCAGCACTGTGATCAGTGCATTATCTCATTCAGTTTCAAACAGAAATTTGATAGGAAAACTCTCAAATTATGTAGAATGAGAGTTACTTCAGATGATAATTAGCAGAGAAACTTTTGCGGCTGATGGTGATGCTTATAAAAAGCAAAAATATAAAACACTTAACAGATTAATTCATAAAAGTACAAAAAATTGAAAACAAAAACATATTTGACAGCATTTAGAGGATGTGATAAAATTTCGAGGATGCTTTGAGAATCGTAACTAAAAATATTTCTCATAATAATTACGGTGCTAGAATAAGCAAAAAGAAAAATATATCATTAAGCCAAAAATGGTATTGATCTTTCGTGCAATGCATTTTTTCTCTTTTGTTATATTTAGCACATACATGCCTATTTTCATCAGNATAAGGGATATGGCTGCTCAAAAAAGAGCATCTTCTTTGAAACAAAAGTCTTTGCTGGATTTCTTTTGAAATGGAAAATAAAGAAAAATGTGGTAAAATCAGTAATTGACAAAAAAAATTATAAAATGCTGAAATATGATTTTAAAAAAATTCAAAATGAAGAAAAGTAAAAAAAAAAATAATAAGTAAAAAATATTTAAAAATTGAAAAAGAAAAAAAAAATTTTTTTTTAAACAGAACTATTTTAGATAGATAGTACTGCCAGTCCGAACCTGGAAAAAGTGTGAAGGGAAGTTAGTGCATAAATAATAATCATTTGAATTAGATTTTAAACAACTTTCCAATTATCCGAACTTTTCATTATCCAAACCACGTTTGGTCCCTAAAAGTTCGGATAATCGGCGCTCTACTGTAATTAATTTAACATGGGGGACTTCAAAACATTGCCTGACGATAATATTTCAATGCTCCACTGCATTATCTCATTCAGTTTCAAACAGAAGTTTGATAAGAAAATTCTCAAATGATGTAAAATGAGAGTTACTTCAGATGATAATTAGCAGAGAAAATTTTGCGGCTGATGGTGATGCTTACAAAAAAAAATGATGAAAAAAACTAGTCTCTGAAGTGCTTTATAAAAATTAACAATATAAAACACTTAACCGATTAATTCATGTCTAGTTATTGTCTAGTTGTTGAGATTTATTAATGTAGCCCTTATAGGTGTCAAAGGTTGAAGGACTTTTAGTTTAATAAAATAAACACATAGGTGCCAACCTGTAATTGCAGAGCTTTTTTTCAATAATAGACATAATTTTAAGTAGTGATATTTAAACACAAACTACATTTAATTTAACTGCAAATTACATAATTTTTTAAGTAATTTAAAAAGTTTTGGAAAGCACTAATGGGAAACAAATATAATGATATACTGATTTGTGTACTCAATTTGTTTTTAGAATTTAAAAAGTTCTTTTGCCTGCATACATGTACCAATGTATATTATTGTATGTATGTACATTATTGTATATACCTGGAGATAAAACTTACATGACATACACATTTTATCACTAAAACAAATAAAATCTAAATCTCAAATGGCACAAAAAGTGTTAACTACCTTAGTTAATATTTACATTAAGCAAATGGGAAAACTGGATTATCTAAATCACATACAATAAAATAACTGATTCTTGTAACCAAATGACAGGCAATTTAAAAAAAAAAATTATAAGAAACAGCTGCTTAGAAAGTTAGTAGTCTAAGTAAGCTTCAAAATTAGTAACAAAGCTCATCAATAGAACTACTGTTGACTGAAAAAAGAATAAAACGATGTTTTACAGTTGCATGACAGATGACTTTAACTAAAATATTTGCATGAGTATAAGAAAATATCCTGAAGTAGCACCAAATTGTAGCTACAAATGGTAGTTATTTTGAATACATTCTGTAACAGTTTCCTGAGTTAATTATCTTATTAAACAGGCAATCATTATAACTGTTTTTAAAACAATGAGGAAAAATTGTAATAACATTTCTTAACTTCTCTTTAACTTTGTTTTTTTTTAAGATAGGTAAAACAGTGCACTAAATAAAAATACGTTTTTTAAACTTTTCTTTCTCTAAATAAATGTGTTTCTTCCCTTGAAAAGAACAATTATCTTAACCCATAAAATTGATAAGTACTTTCTACAACTTACTTGAGTTTTGAAAAATGTCAACAAATGTAAATTTAAAATAATTATGTTTACTTTATATAAAAATAATTATGCTAACTTTATATAAAAACTAATGAAAAAACTAGTAAGAAACTAAGAAAAAATATTAAAAAAATACATAATTACATCAAGTTCTTCGAGAAGTGAAGAATTTTGAGATTTGAAATGCTGTAACCATAAAGCTGAGTCAACAGGTAGGTCAATTCTCCTTTCTTTATATTGAGAATCTACAACTTCTTTGACATGTTTTGTCCATCTGGAAGCTAAAGAAGTGATTAAAAAATGCAGACTATGCTACTTTGTGTCAAGTTAACTTGGCAGAATAACAGACATAAAAAAACATTAGTTATTTGAATTTTTAAGAACTGAAATTGAAAATAATGATATTAAAAATGAAAGTCTTCCCAACATGTAAGAAGTGCAACTCTTCCCCCTAGCACATTTTCGATTGTCTGGAATTTTCCTTAGAGGACATTCTCTTACGATCAATTTTAGTATGTGACGTTTAGACTCATGGATTTAATACAGCAGAGGTTATATTGTAAATTATTGGAAACAATAAAATGAGAGTATTATTATTGATAATTTCTTATACAAAAACCTTTTATTCAATGCTTAATTTAATTCTATGTATTATGTCAGATTCACCACAACCAATGAGAGCCACTAAAACTGTTTGATTCTTTTAACAAAAGCAAGGCAAAAATCAGAGACAGGAATAAAGTTTAACTTGGAAATAACCTGCTGATGCAACGATTTTAAAATTATGTTTCTTTACTGCTTTTAGATTAAGCTATTTTTAATCAATAAAATTTGATTTATTCGATTATAAAAAAGGGCCATTTATATGAGTTAAATATTTTTAATTTATACTACATAAGTTTTAATTGTGGGAACTGATTGTCTCTGTGCAAATGTATTACACTTCTTTTTACCAATATTTATTAACAAAAATTTCACTAAAATATAAATGAACAAAAATATATATAATTTCTTAACATCATGAATGCACATATTGGCTGCATCTTTTTATGTGTATATTGCTTGCATCTTTGAGTGACAAGCAGAAACTTATTTCTTCTCTTCTTCAACTGACAGGTAAATTAATATATTTTTATTTGCAATATTAAGTTGCAGCATTAGATGATGCAGATAAAAACTTTAAAATGATAGGATCAGATAATCAAAAAAATTTTAAGAAATATTCTATCCATTCCTTCAACAAACTTAAAAATGGTATACTTTAATTCATTAAATGTTGGGATATATGAAATAAATTATTAAAAGAAAAAAAGAACACTACAAATTAATATTAGCTAAAGCTACTTTAATAAAAGTTTGTTTCTTTTTTATTTTAAAAAAACATTTTGTTCCATGTGAATTACAAAAAACCTAAATCTGTCTTTCCTTTGAAAATAAGCTTTTTGTGTTACATGCAAAAATGACCTATTACAGTGCATAAAGAATAGGTTTTAGCTCAGAGGCAACATTAGTAAATAATATTTACAATTGGAAAAAAATAATTAAAAAATTGTAAAAAAATTATTTTATCTACTCAACATAAGGATAAAAAAAAAACTTACCCCAAGGTAGATGTACCAACAGAAATTTCGAGTCATATAAATAATGCAGAACATGAATTAATGTTGAAGATTTACCGGTCCCATTAGCGCCATCTAACAGTTATGTAAGAAAATTACACACCAAAATCAAAACATTTATGTCAGCATTATCACTACTACTTTGAAACCTGTGAAATGAACATGTATAGGATGAAAACTAAAATCTTTAATGCATTAAATAATATTGTATACACATTATTCATTTCATGAAAAGCTTATTTTGTTAGAAATATAATTTCTTGAAGAAAATATATTTCTTAAATGGGTTTTGAGGAACCATTATTATTCCCCAAAATGAAGAGCCTTTTTCAAAGCATAACACTTATACATGAAGTCCTCATTTTGACGAAGTGAACATGTCAGAGAAAATGTCTGGAATGTGAGCTCTTAGCTAAGTTATTATGTCAGTACTTTCAGATCTTTGCAAAGTAATCGTGTCAGCAAAATGATCCATTGCAGAAGTTAACAGAGTTTGTTCAATAAGGTAAGATTTTCCATAGATATTAAATTACAAATTTATACTGCTTTTAAACACTTAAAGGATACGTAAAACAAATCTAACAGCAGGATTAGAGAAGTCTATCTTGCTTAAGATGGATATAATTTCAACGGCTGGCTCACGTACCATGATTGCACACTCTCTAAATGTTTGCATCTATAAGATAATTATATAAATACTTAATATACTTTTTTAAATTTAAATATTTCTTTAAATTCATATATTTTGTAAAATTCATATATTTCTTTAAATTCATGCATTTCTTCACAGAAAAATATCACAAAGCAGGGTAATATATTTTCAAAATTACAGAATTAGAAATTATTTTATTTTCTAAAAATTTTAAAAAAAATCTTAAAAATAAAAAGTATAACAATAAGAAAAAATGAGAGAGAAGAAATAGTACTGATATAAAAATAAACAGCATAAAATAAAAATAAAAAACTGATACTTTATAAAAATCAACTCTTATTTCGAAATGTTTTTATTGATGAAAAGAACATTGCCACTAAAAAATTCATTTTTTACTTCAAATAAACAAAATTGTATGAATCAAACTACCTAACAACTGTAATAAAAAAAAATCTGAAAGAAATTTCAGGCCTTGATAAAAAAAGTTAAAACTTAGTTCCAATATTTGAATACATTTGTAAGGCAGATATTTTCAAGGATATTCTTTTAATGCGTTGGCATTTTATTAAAAAATAAAAGGAGACAAATCCAAATTTCTTACACCCTAAGGGTAGATGTTAAGAAAATTTAGTCAATGAACCACAAGACCAGTAATTAAAAGACATAAGAAATCCATTCACTTTACATGTATCTATAAATTTTTTTTTCAAAAAAGTTAATAAAACGAATTTGAATGAAAAAATTTACGAGGGAGAGAATGTGTTATGGTTACATTTATGATGAAATATGCAGTTTTGCAACAAATATACACAACAAAATACAAAAAGAAATATCTGAAAATAAAAACAGCAGACCATCACTTTATATCAATCACTGGCTCGAGGGACCACTGCTAATTTATTTTATTATGTTCCAAGTCAAGTCAGTCTGTTAAACCAGCCACCATTATTTTATAACATGTAATTTTTTATAAAAATTTAAAAAGGAAAATAAATTTTAACATTTTTCGTAAAAGTTGTTTATTTATATAATTAATGTGATTAATAAATCAAAAGTGATATGCATAGAAAAGTAAGTAATTGGATATAACATAATACAATTAATGGCATGGATTGTATTGGATTTGATAAGATTAGTCAATCAACCAGCCATTCTCAACAATTTGCATTGTAAGTTTTTTCTTAATGAAAATGTGTCATTTAAAGATATTTAGTGGCATATACTTATAAATTGGAACACAAATCCTTAAAACATTAAGTATCCAATTTCCTTCTAGAGCATATTTTACAATATTACCTTCCTTCTCAATAAAATCACACTATCTTTTTAGTGAGTTCAGAATTGGACTTAACTTCTCCTTAATCGAAGCAACTTATGGCAAATCCTTATGAGTTATTGGTAATGTCTCTATTTGGGATAGATGGAAAAGAGTTTCTTCATCTCTGATTTTTAATTATTCTGATTTAACTTAAAGACTGAAAAAAAAGTCTGCATTTACATGATGCATTGTGCTTTGAAATATAATATCAAATTGGTAAGATAGCAAAATGAGAGCATAATGCAGTAATCTCATAGCTGTCAAAGTAGGAAAGCCTTTTTTGCATTTAAACATGGCTAATAGTTGCTTATGGTCAGTAATTAGGGTGAATTGTAAAGGGCAAGATTAGTGGTCGCCATGTAGCAACTAAATAAAATAAATTGGAAAGCAAAAAGTACTATCGTTCGCCAACACCTATTTTGGTAATTTAACACACAATCTTCACTAATCCTTAGCTCCTGGAAAAGAACATACATGAAGATCAGAAAAACGATTTAATTTTAATAACCTCTGTTAATTTTTTATTTAAATGTTTGACAAGTTGTATGGTAATGAATTTCCTACAAAGAATCCATAAATAGGCTAAATTTAGGTGCAATAAAATTGAATCCTAACTTTATTTTCAATCTATTCAAATATAAGGATTTTATTTCTTCATTATCATCTGATATGATATTCCTTAATGACTTTTTTTGCACCTTTTTATTGACAGTTTGTTTAAACATTATTTTCAGATATGGCTAACTTATTGAGGCTGTAAAGTATTAGAAGTATTAATTACTGAGGGAAAGAAACGTCTTAAAAAGTAAGCTAAGGTTTTCTTTCTTTTATTGCTGAAAGATAAAACAGAAATAAAAAGATAGGTGTGGTATTTTGTCTTTGGAGAATAGGACCAAATGACAATAAAAGGTGAAGGGTGATGACAAAATTAGTAAATAAACTTCTAAAAGTAATATTTCCAAAATAAAGTTTAACAAAAAGAAAATATAAAAAAAAGTAAATAAAAATAAATGAGGCAAAGATTGAAGGATAAGATTTATCTGAAAAAATAGCAATTGAAAAAGGCAAATCAAAGATAAAAATAAAAAGAAAGAAAGGAAGAAAACAGAGATGAATAAAGCTGAGAGTAGCAGTTGCAGAAATTCTAACATTAATACTTTATATTTAATTAAGAGGCTTAATTTACCAGAGTTGGTAATTATATTTCATTCAGACACAGAAGTTTAAAATTGATTATGAGAAAAACAAGTCTAAAATCGAACCTATTACATATTCTTTTTCATTCTTTTTTAAAATTATTATTTTTTTATAAGAGATGATGTGTTACAATAATAATACATATATGTAATATTTCTTATTATAAAATCTTATAACATTAAATTTTTTTAAACTGTGAAAAATTAATATTTTTTACAATAATATAGAAGCAAAATCATTATTAAGATACTTTTAATGCAACACGGTCAAACACAACATAGTGAAAGTGGAAAGAAAAAAGTGGTCACTAATAAATTTACCTGTAGTGGACAATGGCAACCAATAAATTTCCCAGTCTTGCAGATATAAGTGTTGGGGTTAAGGGTCAATCCTCAATAAATTATTTGAAGATGACATTGATTTAGAAAAAGATGAAGTAGCAACGAGAAATGAAGAGCCCAGTATTTTGAAACAGAAAATAAAAAGGGGATCACCTGAATGGATTACCCCTTATTAAAGTATTAAATGCAAAAAGCAGAAACTGAAAAAGTTTGTGCATTTGAAGATATTTGATGAAACTTCAGAAAACTTTGATTTATTTACAGAATAATTCCAAGCATATCTCAATGTTCAAAACATTAATGAGAGTAAACGTGCAAAAGAGCTGATAGCAAGTTTAAATGCTTAACTATTTAATTTGTTAAAAAATTCAATTTTTCCAGAAAACCTGACAGATAAAAGTTTTATTGAGCACAAAATGATATTAAAAAATCATCGTAATCCTACAGTCTTAATAATTCCTAGCCTTTATACATTTCTAAATTTTAATAACATGAAAGGGAAACAAAAAATTATTATATTGCAGAATTATGCGTAGTTGCTATTCCCAGTGAATATTTGGAAAATATGTTAAATGCTGCTCAAGGGATGTCTTTGATTCAGGGTTAAGGAATTCGTCAATCCTCGATAGATTACTTGAGGAAAGGGACATTGATTCAGAAAAAAATTTACAAATTGTCTAGCCATGGAAAATGTTCAGAAAAGCATAGTTTAGATCATGCATGAGAAAAGCACTGATATAATGGCATTTAAGAAGGAAAAGATTAAACTTATAATCTATCCTCAAGTACAATCAGATCCCTTCATTCAAAGAAAGGCAGGTCCAAAGGATTTCTGTTTACATTTTTTGGGGGATCATAATAGATTATAGTAGAGCATAATAGATCATTAATTGCAAGTTTATTTCTGCCAAATGTAGGTTTTGCAAAATAAATATAATGATGAAATAAATATGTACAAATTAAAAAACGCATAATGTAGTCTAAAATGAATAACAATAAAAAAAAACTCCAATTATGGAAATCGTTGTAACATAATATAAATCTGTGAAAATGGAAGTCAATACAATAGGAACATTCTCAACGATGAGTTTAAAAAGATTTCAGAAAATATTGTTAAATCAGAACAATGAGAAATCAGACATGAAGCAAAACTTTTCCAACTATCTGAAATAGAGACATCATCTACCAATTACCCATAAAGATTTGGCAAAAGCTATTTCGGCTGACGAAGAGTTAAGTGTAATTTCAGACTCTCTAAAAAGGAATGTGATTTTATGGGGAAGGTAGGTTAGATTCAAAAATATGCTCTATAAGGAGATCCTGTACTTAATGGATGGCAAACCTATTTAGAATTCTTTTATGCATTTATTTTGCGACAAATCAGTTGTTGAATTACGCTATTTTTTTGATTGAAATGAATGTTGATATACAGTCAATGATTAATTATATTTACTAAAAATAAAGCTAATAAAAAGAAAGATTTAAGTTAATATTTTTATAATACTGTCATAGATAATTTACACTACACATCATATTAATCTATTAGTTTCTATTCTTCTGGCATAAAGCACAAAGTTTTCTCTTTTTTTGTGTCTAGAAGAAAAGATTTTATTTTTAAAAAAATATTTCAGATACATCTTTTTTATATGTCTATTTTTTATATATTTCAGGCATATCTTTTTCATATGTTTTTTACACATGCTAGCAAAAATAAACTCCTTAATTAAATACCTGAACATATAAGTACAAAAGAGCATAACATCTGAACATAAAAGTACAAAAGAACATAACATCTGAACATAAAAGTATGAAAGAACATAACATCTGAACATAATCAATAAAAAGAGAAATTTATACAGGATAGTATTAAAAAATGTCTCATGTAAAGTTAAAAATATGTAATAATGTACAGTTAAAAACAAATAACTAAATAAATTTTAAAGCTGTTTTTTTTTTAAAAAAAAGTATTTCTTAAGAATGAATTTGACTTATTTCTTTAACTTTTGGATTTTGTTATTTAAAATTTTGTATAAATTTGTTTAGCTTACAATTCTAAAAGTTTATTATTATTGATTTAAATATTGAAAAAAATAATTACCAAAAACTGGAACATGAAAATTACATTTTACATATCTTAATAAGCAAATTTTATAATTGCTTGCTAAAATATTTTGATTCGCCGAAAGAGGTCCCGAAATATGAAGTCAAGAAAAATTCAAATAAACATTAAGCGGCAAAAACTTCCGTTTGCTCTCTTGACAGAACTATTGGGTAATAACACATTTTAATATGTTGTATCTAGTTGTTTGCTTTATACAGTAGGGAATCGATTATCCGGAACGATCGGAACCCTCGCTATTCCGGATAACTGATTTTTCCGGTTTTCTGAATCGCTACAAAAAGCCGTTTTTTTTTATTGTTAAACCCAACTAAAAAAATAATTTTTTTTGGAAATAATCTTAAAAAGAAGAAAAAACGATGGAGTAGTACACTAATGATTATTTCCAAAATGATGGTAAGGTATCTTTCAAAAAAGAAAGAAAAATCCTAGGAGGAAAAAAAATTTTTTTTTAAAAAATGGCGGGAAAATTTATTGAATTTCGTTCCGGTTTTTTGGTTTTCCGGTTTTCTGATTTCCGGATAACGGGTTCTGTACTGTACTACTGAGAGTATAAAATGCTTGTGATTAATCATTTTCATTTGTATGGAGTATAAATGACTACAATTAAGAGTTACTACAGAGAGGAATTCTTAGCCCCTTTTTTTAAAAAAAGGAAAAATCTTAGATTATTTATTAATCTATATATATTTTTCAAGCACTGATTTTCATTTTATTATAATATTTCTTGAACCTACCAATATAAAATTTAGCATAATTAAAATAGTTAAATTTCAAAGTAGTTTCTAAATTTTTAGAAACAACTTTCAAAGTGTTCTTATATCATTTTTAATGCTAACAATAATAACGATTCAAAGTTCAATAAAAAAGCAAACTTAAATATTCTTAACTTTTTCACAGTATTTCAGAGTTAACTACACAAAACTTTTGTCTTACTCGAACTATTTAGTTTAGTGTTTTCAAACTGTAAAAATAATTAATGCTTCCTTTTAAAGATTATTGAATTTATCACTGCCATTAAACATAAGTAACGAATCTAAACATTGATGAATTTTTCAAATGTTGTCAACTGCCTGGAGTCAAACTTACTCAATGGAAATTAGCAAATGAAAACGTCTATTCCATATCAAGTCCCTTGTTGAAAATTGGACATTCTAGTAAATGATTATTTTCAGTAAATGTTGCCAAATGCCTGGAGTCAAACTTATTCAATGGAAATTAGTAAATGAAAACCTCTATTTTATATCAGGTCCCTTGTTCAAAATTGGACATTCCAGTAAATGATTTTTTTTTATTACAGCATGTTTTAGAAGATGAGTTTTTCTGATTAGGATAAAAATACACAAATAAAACGTTTTACCATTTTTTTATTACAATAACATTATGAAAAATTTTATTCAGTTAAAAATAAAAAATGACACAAGTATTTTTGATCATCAACTACAAATAAATCAAAAATTGATTAAATAGGATGTTATTATTTCGACCATGGGGAAAAAATAATAAAAAATCAAGAGTGAGTCACATCTTACTATTTTACATGAAGACGTCCTCATTATCTTTTGTACCTTTGCTAGGGCATCTAGCATGGGCATGATTACATGTGAATTTAAAATTTCAATTATCACATTATAATGAGTAAAAATTGTGTTATTTTCATATTAATTCACATAATTAGTTTTATGTGACCCATTTGTTTGGCAATAAATCTGTATTGTCTTTAACTAGTTTTTTATTAACTTATTTGTAATTTTTCCAACCATTTCTATATGGTTCTCCAACTTCTAAATTACAGTAATAATTTTCTGATAAGCTTAATTCATGATTATTCTGGAGTAAAACCCCAGGCTTTTTCAGATCACTATTTTAGGACTTTTAAGCCATTTTTATAAGGTTTTTTAAATGCTGATATTTGTAATACAATACCACAAGGGATTATTACAACATTACATGCCATTTTGAATTTGAGCTATTACATGTCATTTTCGGCAGTTATTTATCGCTTTTTCCAAATTCCGACATTTTCAAATAAATTCACTTAATTAGTTTTATGCGACCCATTTGTTTGGCAACAAGATTTTTTTTCCATATAGTCGCCTTTTTAAAAAATTAGTTGCTAATGTCCGGAAAATAATTGCTTTTTAGCTGTTTTTTGTAAAAAGTAGTAGCCATAGTTGCCTCCTCTTCATTTTAGTTACAAATAGTCCCATTTTAATCGCTAGTGGAGGTCATGCTAGAGGTCTACATAAACTCAATATTCAAAGAGCTAAGACTGACTTTGAAAAGCTAGCAGCTCAAAAGTATTAAAATTTTCAGATTTAATGAACAAAACAGGTTATAATCGTATATTTTGAAAGCTTAAATACATTTGTGTAAGTATGTAGCCAAATAATAAAGTGTGCTTCCTGTAATCTAAAGTTATAAAAAAATCTATAATACAAATAAAATCATTTTTCAAAAATTATTTAATGAAAAACAAATTTTTTTTCAATAAAGCCATCTTACATGGTAAAACTGGCTTCTTCCTAAGTTAAAAATCTCATAAAATTACACCCACAGACTTAACACAAAAAAGAAACATTTAATAAACATACTTGGATATCCATAGATTTGGGTATTCCACCAATGTAAAATACTTTCTTTCTCACTGCAGGAGGAATCAGGTAGAATTTACCAACATGATTTTGGGTATGATTGCTCTGGAAAAAGATCAACAACTATTGATACTGGCAATTGAGATATTAAACAAATAAGATTAGACCAAGACCAAAAAAGTCAGCAAATTCAATATTTAACCCAGTGATATTAATTAAAAACATATAAAATAAATAAATATATAAAATTATTTTTTAATATGAAAATTTAAAAGGCCAGTTATTAAAAAATATTGATTATTTTCTTTTTAAAAAAGCTTAATCATTATTAGCTTTATTTTTAATTTCTATACCTTACAAATCACTTTAAACACAACTGTATGTTTTTCTATTGATGACTAATTAGCAAAAATATAAATAAAACTTGCCATGAAAGATGACTATTATTGCTAAATAGCAGAGATCACTATTAAAGCTATGAACTGCAATGTCTCAAATTAAATAGCTGGGTAATGTGATGAAAGTATGGATATTACAGCCAATGAGTGTCACTATCATTCAAAAGATATTTTCAAGCCTTGAAGCTTCAGAATTTCAACAAATAATTTTTTAAAATACTATTTGGTATAGAATTAATATTATATTAATAACTTTCATTAAAACATAAAATATATAGGGAAAGTTAATAATAATTTTAGGCTTGTACACATTAAGAACATTGATTTCTTTTTATTATACCAAGTAGAGGAGAATTCCTTCTTAATAATTCCATAAAGATATAAGCTGAAACTCTAAAAATAAAAAGTTCCTGCTCTATAGTGCTCCAAAACTCAATCATGTCACTGCAGTTAATTAATAGCATTATATCGTTTTTTTTTTTTTTTTCTTCATTATAACACAGTTTTTGAAAAAAATATTACATTAAACCTTCTAAAAATCCACATTGACTTTAAAAAATAAATGACAACTTAGTTAAAGTTAGATTCAAGAAAAACTATTTTAATGCTTAAAAATTCGATTTTATTGTTAAAAAAAATGCAATACATTTTTATAAAATTTATTTATCAACTTTTTATACATTTAGGAATTTTTAAATGATCCTGTCTTTTATTTTACATCCTGCAATATATTAAAAAAAACTGGAATATATTTAAAGAAAATTAGAAACTAATTATTTTTATTTTATATATTTAGATATAAATTAATAAATTAAAGCTGTACAGTGAAAATAAAAACACATATAGAATCAAAAATCGGCAAATTTCTAAATCCAAAAAGTTCAAACTAAGATCCTACATTTTTCTAAAGCTAATTTTGATAAATACCCTAAATTGTCACATACATTGCAGGGTTTGTTGATTTAAATCAGCTTGATTTAAATCAACTGATTTTTTTAAAAAAATCATTGATTTAAATCAACTGATTTTTTTATACATATATTGATTCTAAAAGTTTAAAAATAGTGTTTTAAATTATTGATATTTTTATTATTTCTCTTTCTTTATTTTAAATAAATTGCTGCATTAATTAATTTTAGTTAACGAAATTACTTTCTTTCTTGGTGTGTGTTCAATTCCAACACATTTAGAATTAGATTTTTAAAAATCTTTTGACTCTTGAGATTGAAAGTATAGATTAAAGTACACATTAAATGCTGTCCTAATATTTGATTTGCATGGCTGTAGAAAGTAATTAATAAGCGTGAATTTTTCTAAAAAAAAATGCAAATAATGTTAATTAAAATTCTACCTTTTGATGGAAAAAACTTAGAACTAAAATCTACTTTTCATTTTATTGGTGGAAAATGTATATTTCTAAAGCTTAAGGCTATATTAAAAAGAAATTATCCTAATATGCCAANATTGTTTTTTTTTTTTTTTTCTTCATTATAACACAGTTTTTGAAAAAAATATTACATTAAACCTTCTAAAAATCCACATTGACTTTAAAAAATAAATGGCAACTTAGTTAAAGTTAGATTCAAGAAAAACTATTTTAATGCTTAAAAATTCGATTTTATTGTTAAAAAAAATGCAATACATTTTTATAAAATTTATTTATCAACTTTTTATACATTTAGGAATTTTTAAATGATCCTGTCTTTTATTTTACATCCTGCAATATATTTAAAAAAAAACTGGAATATATTTAAAGAAAATTAGAAACTAATCTTTATTTTATATATTTAGATATAAATTAATAAATTAAAGCTGTACAGTGAAAATAAAAACACATATAGAATCAAAAATCGGCAAATTTCTAAATCCAAAATGTTCAAACTAAGATCCTACATTTTTCTAAAGCTAATTTTGATAAATACCCTAAATTGTCACATACATTGCAGGGTTTGTTGATTTAAATCAGCTTGATTTAAATCAAATGATTTTTTTAAAAAAATCATTGATTTAAATCAACTGATTTTTTTTATACATATATTGATTCTAAAAGTTTAAAAATAGTGTTTTAAATTATTGATATTTTTATTATTTCTCTTTATTTATTTTAAATAAATTGCTGCATTAATTAATTTTAGTTCACGAAATTACTTTCTTTCTTGGTGTGTGTTCAATTCCAACACATTTGGAATTAGATTTTTAAAAATCTTTTGACTCTTGAGATTGAAAGTACAGATTAAAGTACACATTTAATGCTGTCCTAATATTTGATTTGCATGGCTGTAGGAAGTAATTAATAAGCGTGAATTTTTCTAAAAAAAAAATGCAAATAATGTTAATTAAAATTCTACCTTTTGATGGAAAAAACATAGAACTAAAATCTACTTTTCATTTTATTGGTGGAAAATGTATATTTCTAAAGCTTAAGGCTATATTAAAAAGAAATTATCCTAATATGCCAAAAATAGAAAGAAAGAAAAAAGGCTGATTAATTCAGATATTTTTTCCATTCTAGCTCTTTCAAAGTCTATTTGAAGCAGTAGAGTTATTAACTGGTAACTGGTATTTTTTTATCACAATATGTTTACAGTATCCTTGACATTATCAAATTTTCTATAAAAAAATTTGTGCAAAGAAATTCCAATGATTACATAGATTTTTTTCAAAATTTTTTTAGCTTAACTTATCTATTTCAATATAGGATTAAAAATGAATATTTTAATATAAAAATATATAGATCAAATATTTATTTATTTCTTGATGAATGACTACATTCATAAATACAATGTTTTACATTTATTTTGTGATATTAAAAATCAAGAGAAAAAACATCACAATTTTAAATTAAAATTATTGCTTGCTAATTGAAACTTTGTTTTAATGGTTAAAGAACAGGGATCTGTCCAAGATAAATTTACGCTTAGCGGTACCTTCACAAATTCAACGTTGGGAAAATACTTTTTTCTTCAAATTTTATTTTTGTGTCTCGTAAGAAACGATAAATCCATACTTTTGTGTTGATTTTTTAATATAATTTTTAATTTTCACAAATTATGTCTAAATTTTCACAAAATAAGTACCTCTCAAAAAAACCTAGACAGACCCCTGAAGTATTCTTTAAATTCTCTATTTCATGTAGTCTTGAAATTTCAATCATGCATTTGTTTCAAAATGGTTGCTAAGCATTCAAAGCAATGTATTATAATGGAAAATTATTTCAGTAAGTTAAATATTGGTATAATATAGTTTTAATATTAATTTAATTTTGCTTAAACATTTATAAAGGTTTTTTAATCATAAATTAAAATTCTTACAATTAATTTGAATAAAAATCAAAAAAATCTGATTTAAATCAAAAAAATCCGATTTAAATCAAAAAAATCATGAATTGTCATTGCTTCCATCAAATTCTCATTATAATGGATAAACAATAAAAATAATTCTATTAGCATAAACAGAGGCACACATGATATTTCATGATTCACACTGATTAACTTGCAAATAGTGTGAATACATAGCATTGATCAGCAACAAAGCTATAGAAAAATGTTTTCTGAAATAAAAATAATTAAAATTAATTTTTATTCTGTTTTAAAGTAAAATACGTCTCTCACTGGATTATTTTCACTTGTTCGGAAATGCTGGTGAGCTTTAGATTCAACATCTTGAGCAACAGCTGTGGAGAAACATGCAAGTTTCAATATATTTCTGTTTATCTGAACAGCTGGAGTTAATTTCACACAACCTAGAAAATAAATTCAAAAATATAACAAAGCATAGCAGATCCAGTAGATTTCAATTACAGTGAAACCTCCTGTTATGGACACTCCTCCAAAACGGACACCTCTCAATACGGACATATTTTTAATTTCCCGGGAATCTTCTATGAATAAACCATTACGTACATTCTCCGCAAAGCGGACACTTCTGTAACCGGACACGGACAGTCATTTTGGTCCTGAAACGTTGTTTTTTATCTCTACAAACCGGACACTACTTTTTCTAAATAAATTGCAAGCTAAAAAAATTCAACTTTTCACCATTTTTAAAGCATGTAAATAAAACTTTTTGCCTTATCCATAACTAAAAATATTGTTAAGCTATTTCACCACCGAAAAATCAATCTTTCTCCTGTCACCTTGCCTTATCTTTGTAAAGAAAGGAGAGAAAATGGTACTGCACTCCTGAAGTAATTCTGACATCGGCATCTTTTGATCTTTTCATCTGGACCACACAGGTTATGAGATCCCTCAAGTTGAAATGACTTCTCTCGATGCTTCTTCCCAATTGGAAATTTCTTTAACTTTCTTATCAATTTGAAGACTGTATTTAACACAACTGGGGTAAAAAAAATGAGAACAGAAGTATAATCTTTGAGGTGTTCATATAAATGAAACATTTATTCAGACACTTGATAGCTGATCAATTGTGACTAATCATCTCCATAGGCCCTCATGACTTACAGGTATGCATTACTTTTTTTTCTGTGAATCATGATAGGTTTATTATCCAAGAAGGTATGAACCATGTTCCCTATCAAACGATAAGTAGGTGTAAGGGGATGTAAACCTAATAATTGAAACAGACTGAGGACGGTACGCTCCTATTTGGTATCATATGTCTAACTTGAGTATCTATGCTAATAGGAAAATTATATTCATTTATCTGTAGCTACATCCAGAATTATGTATTTACATCAAACTTCTTTATATATTCTTTTTTATCTTTCTTATCATTCAAATAAATATTTGTGTAGATATTTACAATATCCTTGTAGATATTATTTAATTATTTCTACATCTTTGAGAATACTCTAAAAACAATTTACGGTGCCCTTCCCGTAAACGGACAACTCTCATAAACGGACAAATTTTTTGGTCCCATGAATATCCGCTTAACGGAGGTTTCATTGAACTTGCACAAATTTACAAAACAAAGATAAAACAAGATGTTAAAAGATTTCTAACTTTCTTTTTTAACAAAACTGTTTGAAATATGTCCATAACAAGGTAGTTAAAGGTGTTAATGCAAGTAAAGTATACAGAAGAAGAGAGAATGAAATAAATTTTTCAACGAAGAGAGGAGTAGTAAACTCGATATAATGTAATTTTATTAAAGAATAAATTTCAAATAATTTTTAATTTTAAAATATCATTACGCATTGTCTTTTAATTTATAGAAATATTACACTATGAAATAATTCAATAGTAAATTGTTATAAAAACTAAATTCCTCTTGAACCTTAAAGCCATTCTTCTTTCTTTAACTGTGCCTCTTATCCAAAAAAAGGTTGATGAAAGGGCGTATAATTGTTCACTGTTGTAATTATTTACCTTCATTGACAAACTCTGAGAATTTTGGCGAGTATTTTGATAATAGGCCCCATGATATTTAAGAAACCAGAAAGGAAAGATTAAACAAATATTATTACTCTCAATATTTAAGAAGAGTTAAATAAGTGAATTGAAAGAAAAAATTGTATATGACCATTTGTAATGTCCCAAATATGACATAATCTGCTATTTTATTACAATAACACAGACTAAAACGTAAAACTGAAAACCAAAAAAAAAAACAAAGCAGCATACTATCCCTTTACACCTGGTACTGGTTTGGAGAATTATTGATAATTATTTTATGGTGGTTCAATCACTCTTAATTTTCAAGCTCCACATAATGAGTGCCATCAGTTGCAAAAATCAAATTTATGACAGTATTATCAAAGTACCTAAATGTTAATAAAAATGTTCAACAGAGTGACTCTCATGCCTTCTCTTTAATATATCATTAACAAAAGCCAGTGCTTTCCCTAAACATTTCTTTAAGGGCTGCCCGCCAGGCTTGCTCTTTGCTCCCATTGAATGTGTCCTCTTTGCCCTTTTGGCAAAAATAGGCCGCCATCCCTTAAAAACACTGCCTTTTTTAATTCACATTCCCTTTTGAAAAAAATTAAATCACTGTTTAAATAACAATTACACACTGGTAAAATTATCTGTGTTTATAGGTTTAATTCTGATTACTATTACAAATATTTAGTTCATAAGGATAATTCTAAACTGGTTAAATTTATATAAGTATCTTTTTTTGGGGAGGTTATTAATAAATTTTTAAATGATTTTAAATTTCAAAACAATCGTTTAAATAAATACCCTTTTTTTTAAAAAATGCACCTTTAAATGTTTATATTCTTGTAATTTTCAATTTAAATTATTAAAATAAAAATTTCCATAAATTTTTGTAAACTTTTTTTTTTTTTGTTAGTTTACTTTTCTGAAGAAAAAAATTACACATATTACATGCATAATAAGCAATATCTGGTAATATGCTCAATAATTCAAAAATTAACCCTTGTGAGTTTAAAATCAATTTTATTAAATGATTTTAGTAACCTCAGATCATTTATTAACACAAAAAACATTACCCTTTCTAAATAAAATACTTTATACACTTCCTGTTTTCTCTTCAGAAAAAAACAAAAATGCTTTCTAGGAAAAAAGTGTCTTCAAAACTCTTGATTCTAATTCGTGGCTCAGAATCTTGGTCTTGAACTAAGAACACAAAGTTGAAGTTTTTGAAGGAAAGGTTTTCAGAAGAATCATTTGCTTCTGAGAAAATGGTCTTTGCCAAATATGCTTTAATTCAGAAATTTATGAAACTGTTATATGACCACTGTTTTCAAAAGTATTATAGTTAAAAGAATGAAATGGGCTCCTCAGACTTCTGAAATGAATTTTAAAAAATCAAGTAAAGAAGAATTTTCTTCAAAGCCCTTAACTAGTCAGAAAAGAGTCAAAAAGGGTTCAATCTGGTGGAATCAGACTTGGAGTCATTAGGGTAAATAACTGATGGTACAGGTCAAAAAAAAGGTTATCTTGGAGAAATCTTCAATAGAAGGCCCTCATCACCCTAGACTGTGGTGTTAAGTGGTATTTGTTACTAACAGGTAACTACTTCAATTAAAATGGTAACTACTTCATCCACATCATCATCATCAGTAGCTCGACAGTCCTGGGTGAACCCTGGCTTTCTCAAGAAGACTGCACCAGTCCTTTCTTCTGCGTGCCACGGCTTTCCAATCTCTGACCTTGATTGTGGTACTTCATCCACTGAGCACTTAATTTGATTTAGTGGAAAATGATCAATTATTGATAGGATCATATAGAATACTTTCTATAATGAAAACCACACATGAAAAGATACTCAAAACAGCCTTCTACCCATGAACTTTATTTATTACTAGCTAAAAATCTGTTCTTTGTACAAAGTAAAAAATAATAAGAACTACTAAATCAGTTAATATTATGGAATGATAGTTAGCTCAGAAATGATGGGAAATGAAGAGGGGGTTTGTTAGGGCAGGTTCGCTTAGCTGAATCTCAATCCCTGATTAACCAGATAGCAGAGTGGTCAACATACATCATTGGACACCGAGTTTTGGCTTGAACCAATTATGCTCGGATTTCAACATGCAGTTGGAGCTGAGCTTAAAGATAACAAAATATGATACATAAGATAGCAAACTATATTTTTTCGAGAACGTCCTTTTTGTTCAATGCTTAAATAAATAGTAAAAAAATTAATGGAAAAGTTGGCAGAAGTCTACATTTTTTGACAACTTTTCACTTGCACCCAGCTAACCAAATACAGTAGAGCGCCGATTATTCGAACTGCTCGGGACCGAACATCGTTCGGATAATTGGAAAACTGTTCAAAATCTAGTGTACATGATTATTATTTATGCACTAACTTCCCTTCGCTCCTTTTGTAGGCTTAGGACTGGTAGTACTATCTTAAATAGCTTTGACGTGTTCAAAAGGGTTTTTTTCTTCAATTTTTAAATATTTTTAATTAACTTTTTTTCATTTTGAATTATTTTAATCATATTTCAGTTTTTTATAATTTTTTTTGTCAATTACTGATTTTACCACATTCTTCATTATTTTCCATTGAAAAAGAAATCCAGCAAAGATTTTGTTTCAAAGAAGATGCGTTTTTTTTAGCAGCCATATATCCCTTATTCATCATTTTGACGTTCTTGCCAATTCATTGCAATATCTAATGAATTGCATGCTTCTATCTTGAACTTGATCACTTACTTCTTCATCTTCGTCTGTGGAGTTCCGATTTTCATTAAAAATCAACAATTCATTATTTTCATCCGAAAGATCTACTGATTCCGAAACTTCAGTTTTTCTGTTAAGAATTTTATTCCAAGATTTATTATTCCAACCACTGTAATCACTAATCATTAAACATAAGTGACAACTACCCATTCCCCAATTATAAAACTTCAACACTTATCTATTCATAAACTCCTTCTGCATTCCAACCATTGTAGACTATCAAAATGAAGCTCGCATTCTTGGAAGATAATTTTCAGTTGTAAAGGGGTAGGCAGGTTTAACTGTATCACCATACATGTATGTATGGCTGCTATAAGAAAACTGCTAAAAAGGTTGTAAATTAAATATGGTTTTTGAATGTAGGGGATATTATTCATTCTAATTAATTTAGAAAAATTGTCAAGATCTTAAAAAGTATTCTAAACTTTAAAANCATAGTTCGGATAATTGGACGTTCGGATAATCGGCGCTCTACTATAGTACCAATTATTCTAAGTAATATATAACATAATATTTGAAATCAATTTCTTTTAAAAGGTAAATGTTTTTTTTTTTTTTAAAAAAAACCTATGCTGTTTTCAACTTTTCTTTTAAAAAGGAAATTATTAAATGTGTATTAAGGAATCATTTCCGTGTTAGTTCATATTATATTATGATAGTTAAGTTTAAAACATATAGTATGTTTATAAGAAAACCCATTCATCTAAAAGAAGTTAAACAATATATTTTTTACCTTACTTCGTATTGTTCCAAAACATCCTAACGCTCAAGCTCAAAGGCGAGGTTCTTACATACTAGTTTAATATCTTACAAACCGAGTGAAACGTTTAAGAAGAGCGAAATCGTTCGTCCTAAGAAATCAAGCTTTTTTTTTCAAATCAATTTTCGTATCGGGTCTTTTAAAGACCCGATACGAAAATGCTCTCTATCCCCAAAAATAAAAGAAGTCTACCCTGACTTAATATGCTTATAAGGAGATGCCTTATTCACATTTAAATGATAATGACGGGATAAAAGAAAAAAAATCGATAGTGTAAAGTTCTAACATAAACAAAATTTAACATGATATAATAAGTTTACATACGTTGTTGATTTAAGAGTATGTCAATTAAATATTAAAAAACGCAGCTTTTAAAAAAATTAAAAGCTAAAAACATGTAATAAAACTTACGGTACAATGAAGACATGATTAATTTTTAAAATAAATTGAGACTTTGACCTTTGATACCTTTAATATGGTAGTGTATATGGTAATTGAGACCTTTAATACAGTGTTGCCAGAACTTAAGATTAAAAAGTAGCGAATGGGAGCTCCAAAAGTAGCGGATTCGAACATTTTGTAGCCCAAAAATATATATTTACTGCACTAATTTATTTGGCTATATTTCTGTAAAACAGCGCCGTTTGCCAGAAAACACTAAAATTATAATAACATTGGCTAGCTCGTTTTTTTCCAGCTTTTTTATGTGTAAAAATCAGTCGGAACTGTCTTCGATATTTTAATGTTGGTGCGGTCTTTGAGCTGCATAAGAATACTAAGAGGTTTCGACCTCAGCTCGCTTCGTTCCCCAACCTCAAGAACCTTAATTANTGAAGTTCCAAAAACTTTTCACTGTAGTCGATATGAATTTAGAATTCTTTTTGGGTCGAAATCTATCAGTATTTACATGTAATAAAAAATAATTAAATTAAAAACTGAACGTTCCGTTTCATCAGTTTGTTTCAACTCATATTTCGAACATTAATGTTCAGGAAATTTATTGAGTACTGTTGAGGTTATGCAATGCTGATCAAACTTAATAATATTTCTTAAAATATTTTATCAATTTATAATTATGTGCCTTTTTTATCAACTATTTATAGCTAATTAAGCAAAGAAATTTATTTTTCACCATAAAGACATTAAATGTAATAACCTTCTTTGAGGCAAGCTTAAAGCTGAAAAAAATTGAAATATCCTATATATTGAGAGACAACTAAACCACATCGCGCGACTAAACCTGAACGCGCGATGCGCAAAACAGAGAAACTAATTTAGGAAAATATTATAATTTAGTCGATTCAAAAGAAAAAATAATCATTCTGAAATGGAAACAACTGAAATGTATGATTGTGAGGAATTCAGCATACCTTTTAGAAAAAAAGAAATAGACTTTCTTTCCAGATTCTTCCTTGATAAACTAAGTTTCCAACATCGGTCTTTGTTTATTTACGGCCACAGAGCGACAGGAAAAACTTTTGTCTTATCAAAATTTCTCCAATACTTTTCTCTGCCGCATGTATGGATAAATTGCAATGAATTTTATACAGCTCAGCTTATTTTTTCAAAAATAGTAAATCATTTGTCTAAAAAGGAAGACGATTACAAAAAAGTCACAAATTCTCTAGACTTTATCATCTTTGTAAAGGAAAACCTTAAAACAGTTGAGGAGACCTTGTATTTAGTTTTTGATTGTGCCGAGGTTCTAAGAAATGAAGATTATCTTCTTAGACTTTTTTTGAAACTGCAAAGTATAACTAAAGTCAATATCTGCACTATTCTTTTATCTGAACTCCACATCGATGACTTTTTAATTTGTGATTATTTAACGCTACAATTCACTGAGTATTCAAAGAATGAGATGTGTGAAATATTGTGCCTTAATTGTCCTCAGGGTACCAGTCAAGACTTCTATAGTGCCTACATAAATGTTATAATGAGAACGTTTTATCCAATCACGAGGAATCTCTCCGAATTGAAATACCTAGCTGAAAATAATTTCGAGAAATACTGTAAACCGGTTTATGATGATCCAGAATATGAAATCAGTTCACTGCGCTTATGGAAGAATATAGAACCTACATTAAAGGAAGCTATTAGGTGTGTTTATCTTCGTGAAATTTCAGGTTCAAAATGGAGAACTTACTGTAAAACTGAAACCAAAGAAAATAAAGCCCCCACTTCTTCTATCACCTCTTGTATGACACGAGAACTACCATTTTTCTCAAAGTTTCTATTGTTAGCAGCTTATTTTGCTTCATACAACCTACCTAAAAGTGATTTTAAACATTTTGTTAAAAACCAGGGCAAGCAGAAAAAGAAGAGAATTACGAAAAAAACTGAAAGAAATCTGCATTTATTAGGACCTAAGCCTTTCACTTTAGATCGCCTCCTTTCCATATTCTTTTCAATTGTTGGTGAAAGAGTCTTGCCTTCGGCCTTAATATTCTCTCAGATTTCATCATTGGTTCATATGCGTCTCATGTCACGTGTTTCAGCCGATGAACAGTTAGATTGTCCTAAATATAAATGCTTGGCAGAATTAGATCTTGTTTGTAAAATTGGTAAAACTGTTGGTGTTGATGTTATAGGGTATTTAGATGATTTTATATAATTATTCCGTAACTAGTATTCGTACAAGAAATATCAGCATTCAATTCTCACGAAGAATATACCTAGCAAAATACACTAAAATCATTTTAAATGTTTACAATCTTTCAAATTATGTACAATCTTTTACATAGAGGGGCCATTAGAATAAAAATAACTACATTAAAAAATTTGTATTTCTTCTGTCCTGTATAATCAATACCAATTTATCACAAATGAAAAGATTAATGACATCAAATGATTACTTATTTTGTACAAAAACTATTTATTTTTATAATTTTCCACTTATGTTGAAGTATATTAAATTAAAGCAAATTGTGAGATATTTTTTTAATGAATAAATTAAAATTATTTACTCTCTTTGCAGTTTGTTTACTTTTTGTAATTGAATTTGTTGTGTTTTTTCTGAAGGAAATATTTATTAAAAAGGAATTGGAGTTAAATTATCTTTTGGCATTTTAAATGAGTTTTTTCTACTTTGAACATCACACATTTTTTTCTTAATTTTTCAAAGATAAGATTTTAAAAATTCCTTTAGCATTTTAATAAATACTTTTGTTTTATTTTCTTACAATGTGAGAGGTTTACATTTACTATTCAAGAACTGAATTTGATCCTTGTGGTAAAAGCTATAAACTCCTAATCTATCAAAGAGAATATCTGGTTATCAAATATTGAAAGTTCTTATCCTTGGAAAACCAAAAAGATAAGTTACAAATCTGTTATTTTTATTTCATATTTTTCGTAATATAAAACAAATTAATATGTATGTAATGCATCTTTATTAGAACTGATACATTACAAAGCAAAAGGAAACAGAAATGTGAAGCATTATGTATCTTGTATGCTATTAAAGTGTTTTGCAATTTTTTATGTTGAATGTCTTAAATTCCTAATAACTTTTATGCATGTTGAAACCTGACTTTTTTACATTTTGAAAATCCATACCAACTATCAGAAACAAAATATTTAAAAATGTTGTTGAGAGTTAAAAATTATGACATTTAAATTTAGAATAAAATTAAAATAATGCATAGAACAGTTCTCTCATTTATAAGCACAGAAAATAATTTCCTGTTCTGTCTAACTAAGCAAAAACTAAATTTAATTTGCAATATTTTTGAAAAACGCAATTTGGTAAAACTTTATCAGGTCCTGCAAGCATATTTGTAGTTATAAACATATATCAATAATATCATATAACAAATCTTGATTTTTGTGTATTCTACAGTATCCAACATGGTTCAACACAATTTTTTTTCGAAAACAGCTTTATTTAAAATTTTATTTTATTTTTTGCAAACAGAGATCCTAATATTATAAATCTGAAGTAAACTCTCCTAATTTATTAAATCAAAATGTATTTAGAAAATAAGAGTGAATTTTAGCATAATATCTAAAAAGTTTTCTTGTCATGCTAACAGCTCTATAACAAATTGTAAAGCATAAATATCATTGTTTTTTGTTTTTTTTAATTAATAATATGGTAGTTACCTGCAGTTTGAACTAAAATCTTTAAAAAGTATTAAATATACAGTGAAATCAATCTCAATATATTGTTCAATTTTGATTTAAATTTTAAAAGAAATTCTAAACATTCTTTCTTGAAGCGTGATAAAAATAATAAATTAGCACTTTGACCTTATCTTTGATTTCAAAACATTGTTAATACCATATTAAATCAACATAAAAAATTGCAAATAATGTTATAATATTTTTTTGTGTTAAAAAAATTTCTCTAAATAGACATTTTTCAGAAAATTCGTTTAAAGTATGTAGTTGCCAGAAAATATTAGAATAACCATTTTCATATGAGTGAAATAATTAGAAATCATAACAATCATTCTTGTAGGCATTCAAAAAATTTTTGCTCATGTTTTTTTTTTCTGATTGCATTTTAAATTTTTATCCACAGTGTCTGTTTCATGTCTATGAAATTGCTGCTTATCACCCACTTGCCTTAAGTTAAATGTTTCACTTTGTGTGTAGTTATAATCTAGTATGTAAATACACTGTCTGCTATTAAGTAATTGGACACCTGTGATAAAAGAGATAAACAAAATTTATATGTATTCAGTAGTTGGTAGAGCTTCCACATGAGGCAATTTACCACCTTAACCCTCACTTTCCACAAGTGTTTGGACCATGGTATTTCCTTCCACTCGTCTTGGAGAAGACTGGCAAGTTCTTTCTTTGATTTTGCACGATTGCTGCACTCCTTAATTCTGCAATCCAACTCGTTCCAGAGGTTTTCTATAGGATTCTGGGTAGGCCAGTCTATACGGTTCACCATATGAATCGATAGTGGACCTCGCAACAGGGCAAGTGTCATTGTCATTCTGGAAGTAACAATGATTAAACCCCTAAAATTGCAACAATATAGAAAACACATTCTTATATCTAGAATAATGGAGTTGGGGTTAAGTTGACCATGAATTGGGATCAAAGGTCCATACCATGAGAAACACCCCCATGCCATTATTCCATCTTCACCTAACTTTATTGTAGGTAATCATTCTGCTGCTCAACCTTGATTCATCACTCTGGTGAACCTGTTTTCACTCATCTACGGTCCAATTTTGATGTGCCTTTTACCACCTCAACTGAATAGTGTGTTTAGATTTTGTATTCAAAAGCTTATGGGCAGCGGCACAATCATGGAAACCAAACAAATGCGCTTTTTTGTGAATGGTATCTATCGAAACAGCAATCCCGGATGCTTGTTGGGACTTCTGGAGTAAGTGGGCCATCTGTTTGGTGCAGTTTTCCCGATTTTCTTTGGATAGCACTCTTTGATCTCTATCTGTTAGTTTCGTGGGTCGAAGCACGTTCTAACAATCATTATTCACCTTCCACTGCTTAATCCCAGAAACCACTATTGATTTTCGTATGTTTAACTCACAAGATCAGCCATCTGTATGATATCCGACCATTACCCTTTTCTCAAAGTCGGGCATTTCTGAATATCACGATATCTTGCATGGGACTGCTGCCAATGTTGTTTCCTTTTATAATATATGAGTATAAAAGGTATGTGTGGAGCTAGACTGCATATGTCCTTCATGGCATAGGTGTCCAGATTGGTAGATAGTGTAGATTAAAAATTTTATTTATTTCAATTATGCATTTATGTATGTGAATTCTGATCTGAAAATATGTAATTAAATATTCTATTTTGTTTTATATACAAATAATACTTCTAATCTTTTTTTTTTTTTTTNATTTTTCCTAATCTTTTTTTTTTTTTTTGCAAAGTAGACTATCTGAATATATCCTATTCATTTTTATATCATGTTTTATTTTACATAACGAAAAATACTTAAACGGGATTTTTTATTTAGATAAACATCTTTTATGACTATTAAATTTAAAAACTCAAATTTGTTTTTATGTGTCAATTATAAGTTTTATTAATTTTTATAATAGGATGCAATGAATTAAGTATTTTTATCAATTCATTATTATTTAGCTTTCCATAGTGTAAATATTAACAATATCAATTAGTCTTAAAAATTGAAAGATTTTTGAGTGTAATATTTTTGAATTGGAAAAAACACATGAAGTATTATACAATTTATCTGCGTTAATAAAATTATATTATTGCAGGTTTAGTTTTTTCTAAGAAAAAATTGTTATATCTTAGGATACTTATATCTCTTTAAATAAATTAATGAGCTAATTTTTTTTTCTGTTTAACATGGTTTTGTTAAAGAAAATTTTCTTTAAAAAGAAATATACAGATCTCAATTGAATTAAATCTTTTGGCGCCTTAATTAGTGCCTTTACATTTTAGAATTTTAATTTAGTTTTTTTTTTTTTCAAGTATTCCAATATTATTTTGAAAAAATGGTTATGAAATTTTTTAGCTATTTATCTAGATTTTTCTATTAATTTATTTCATTGGTAGGCAGGAAGTCCCTTCTGAAATGCAGATAGCTCACCTCTATTGTGAAAAAAGAATTTTTCACAATAAGCAATTGTTAGCAAAATTTTTGAATCAATTTTATTTTTAATTATTGATTGATTCTTTAGCATTATGTACTCCTGATTGAAAATTTAAATTTAATAATGCTTGTAAATGTGTTGGAAATCTTTTAAATTTTTTATTGATGCTCAAAAACTATAGAAACAATATTAGGTAAAAATATGAGTAAATTTTAGAGGAAAAGCCACTATTTTATAGATACAGTGGTGGCCAAAAGTGTGGACACTTTTTGCAAGTTTCATGTTTTTCAACTTTGTGTGCTTGTAGAATATATTAATTTTCACTTAAATACAAACGTTTATATATCAAATTGAAGGTAATTTAATGTAGAATTTAATAATAAATACAGTATTACAATATCTATATTACAAAAAAAGTTATGCAACTAATAGTAAGACCTATCTTAGATTTGCATTTTTTTAAAGTGATACTTACACAATCAATACTTAGTAGGATAACCCTTATTTTTTAAGACAGCTTCACAGCGTCTTTCCATTGAGTGTTTGGAGTTTATCTTTCGTAACCACATGGTGCCAAGAATCAATTATAGCTTCAATAAGTTGTCTTTTATTGGATGGACGTTTTTTTCGTACAAGAATTTTCAAACGTCGCCACAAATTTTCAATTGGATTGAGATCAGGGCTGTTTCCTGGCCATGGTAATATATCTATGCCTTTATTTTGAAACCATGCTTGGCATACTTTTGCTGTGTGGCATGGAGCTGAATCCTGCTGAAAAATAAATGGTGCGTTGTTGGAGAAGAGATCCCTGATTGAAGGTATCAATTTTGGTTTCAGGGCAGTTTCGATGTATTTTTTGGCATTCAGGATGCCATGAACCACTTGAATTCGGCCCACACCATCTGCAGACATACATACCCAAATCATGACATTTGTTGNTCACTTGAATTCGGCCCACACCATCTGCAGACATAAATGCCCAAATCATGACATTTGTTGAGTTTTTTGTAGTTGCTTCAATGCAATCAGAATAAAGTGCTTCACCTACTCTAAGTCTCACGTATTTTCTTCCATTACTACCAAAGAGCGATATTTTACTCTCATCGCTCCAGATTACTTGCTTCCATTGATTTTCTGACCATTTAATTTGTTCTTTTGCTCACTTAACTCGTTCTCGCGTTGCTTCTGATTTAAATATGGTTTTTTCCTTGGAATTCTAGCTTGTAGTCCAAATCCTGATAACCTTCTTCTTATTGTTCTTGAACTTACTGCAATACCCTCTGCATTCATTTCACATCTAATGGCATCTGATGAAATTTTTATATCTTGTAGGCATAGCCGTATAATTTTTCTATCGGCAGTAGCACTTGTGCATTTTTTTCGGCCTGATTTGGCTTTATTTTCCACTGATTTCGTTTTTTCATAACGTAAACAGAACTTTTGTACACCAGAACTTCCCCAACAACGCACCATTTATTTTTCAGCAGGATTCAGCTCCATGCCACACAGCAAAAGTATGCAAAGCATGGTTTCAAAATAAAGGCATAGATATATTACCATGGCCAGGAAACAGCCGTGATCTCAATCCAATTGAAAATTTGTGGCGACGTTTGAAAATTCTTGTACGAAAAAAACGTCCATCCAATAAAAGACAACTTATTGAAGCTATAATTGATTCTTGGCACCATGTGGTTACGAAAGATAAACTCCAAACACTCGTTCACTCGATGAAAAGACGCTGTGAAGCTGTCTTAAAAAATAAGGGTTATCCTACTAAGTATTGATTGTGTAAGTATCACTTTAAAAAAATGCAAATCTAAGATAGATCTTCCTATTAGTTACATAACTTTTTTAATACAGATATTGTAATACTGTATTTATTATTAAATTCTACATTAAATTACCTTCAATTTGATATCTAAACGTTT